GATCTGCTAACACGAGTTCCATCCTGAGCATGGCAAAGCTGCCAGCAATAATTGAAATGTCAGCTCTATTAAATATAAATGGTTCCTGTCAAGTTAACCATGTTAAATGGGATTGTGCGACTGTAATATCATTGTGCCTTTTAAATGACACCTGTGTGTCATGTAAAATCAGAGACAAGACTAGCTGGTAAAAATGCCGATTTCCAGGAACAGGATCGCGTTGGGGGTGTACTTTGGCTAAAAAACATGGACATGAAGTGCACACATACACACTAGGTAAACCATTTTAAATATTATGACTTGTTTATGTTTTTGAAATAAATCATCTGCTCCCAAAGGTTGCACATAATAACATTTATTTAAAATAAAATATTTTGTAACAAAAAGAATTGATATAGTATAATAGTAGGAATTAAGAGAAAATAGTTTACAATAAGGTGCCACTATTAAATGTGTCTACTAACATTAATAAACAATACATTTGTTACAGTATTTATTCATCTTTCACTGTAAAAAATACTGGGTTTCACACAAACGATTTGTGTTGGTACAACATTAAGAAATTAAGTCATTAAGGGTTCCAGTCCTCGGGCTCCCATTTTGTTTGTCTTCCTTACTTAACACACCTGATTCTCATCAGCTCGTTAACAGAGAAATCCATGAACTGATCCTTGTGAGTCAAATAAGAAAGAGATGCAAAATATGCAGGGCAGGGGGGCCTGCAGGACCACAACTGAACCACTAAAATAAGTTAACTTATTAGCTTTTACAAAATTAAGTGGATTAAATGGAAATCAATTAAGTTGTGCCAGAAAAAGTCAAGAATTGTGTTGTTTCAGCTCATTTAAAACAAGTAGTTTGAACAAACAGCAAACATTTTTTGAGAGTTGTTAGTGTTCAAACTTTATTTTAATGTACAATTCATACTTTTAGCTCAAACTACTAATTATCTGCTTATTAATAGTTAGTAAGGTAGTAGATGAGGTTAGGTATTGGGTAGAATTAGGCACATATACGTTTAGCTTAATAATAGGCAGGTAATAATACTGGGAATTGTTAGTGCATTAACTAATGTTAACATGCACTTTGGATTTGGATAATGCATTAATAAACGTTGATTATTAAATGCTGTATTAGTATTTTTCTTTATAGGTCCATGTTAGTAAATGCAGTCATCTGCAAAGCATTCATAGCGCTTCACTTTTCCAATACATTTTATTTTTCAGGTTTTTTATTTTTAATAAATTTGCAACAATTTCAAAAAATCTTTTTTTTTCCCCACATCGTCCTTATGGGGTATTGTGTGTAGAATTGTAAGGAAATAAATTAATTGGATCCATTTTGGAATAGGGCTGTAACATAAAAAAATGTGGAACAAGTGAAGCGCTGTGAATACTCTATAAAAATACAACAACAAAAAAATGAATGACATGTCAAAAACCGCTGATGGGAAAATTCAGCTTTAAATCACCAGAAATTAAAGAAATGAAAACAAAACACTGAAAAATGATTTTGCTGCTTATTTAAACTACTTTTTGGGTCAACTTAATTGTTTTATGTTAAATCTGTTTAAGTTTGTAAAAACTATTAAGTTGACTTAACGATTTGAGTTGGAACGAGAAAAGGATCTGTGAGGAACCTAGCATTTTTTACACTTTAAGCTAACTATTTTAATTATTGTCAGAAAAATGGCTAATTCCTACATAATTTGCACAAAAGCATACAGTTAAAAAAAAAAGATTCATGCCCCCAAACCACACAGCTAAACACTGACATCACTAAAAATGTATGAATCGCATGGTTTAAATTCATACTAGCTTGCTACTAAATAAAAAAGTTACAAATTGCAGTGATATTCTGTTGCAATCACAGGAATGTTTTCAATATACATAGAAATTAGTCACTATATTATACAGTGGTTAGCACTGTCGCCTCACAGTAAGAAGGTTGCTGGTTCAAGTCGCAGCTGGGTCAGTTGGCATTTCTGTGTGGAGTTTGCATGTTCTCCCCGTGTTTATGTGGGTTTCCTCCGGGTGCTCCGGTTTCCCCCACAATATCTCACAACAATCTGTAACTTTTTAATTTAGTGGCAAATTCATATGACTTCGTACGATCTCATTTGTACAATTTGTACAATTTAGTATGATTTGCTGATCCCCCAATGACAGTTGGGTTTAAGGGTAGGTTTGGGTGCCACGTCTTCTTTTTAAAATCGTACATTTTTATACGGCTGAACTAGTACGAATTCATACGAATTAGCCACTAAACAAAGAAAATATAAAATGCTTATGTTTCCTCATCCATCGACATGCGCTATAGGTGAACTGAATAAACTAAATTGGCTGTAGTGTGTGTAAATGAGTGTGTATGGGTGTTTCCCAGTACTGGGTTGCAGCTGGAAGAGCATCCGCTGTGTAAAACATATGCTGAATAAGTTGGTGGTTCATTCCACTGTGGTGGCCCCTGATGAATAAAGGGACTAAAGGCCGGGTCACACTACGATTTTTATTTTTTTAATATATAATCCTGAACGATTGTAGCATGTCAGACTGCACGAACATGGCTCCCATGTCACACTGTAAGATCTCTGCTGTCATAAAGTCAGACTGAACGACAACGAAGACATGCCAAACAAGAGTTTGACGTCATCCACACGTGACACTTTTACAATCCCGTGTTCTGAAATGATTTCTCACAGCAAACGTAAACAGATCTGTAGTGGCATTTTTTTTTTTACATTTCCTTGCGGTGATTTGAATTGTCGCATGGATTGCGTCATCAAATTCGGAGCTCCTATTCGCTCCGGTATTGACGCTCATCGCAGCTGTTGTCACACTGCAGGAATGTGTCTAAAATCTTCTGACGCTGCCAGAACTTCATCAGAGGAAAAATCTGATCGCAACAGGCTTTAAGCGGTCATGTAAACATGTCAAACCAATGATCAAAGATCACCGATTTCAGCCTAGGATTCTAGGAATCTTTTAGGATTTTCCAAATTTGTCTCAGATGACAAAATCGTGGCTGAAATCTCACAGTGTGAGCAGAGCTTAAGTCGAAGGAAAATGAATGAATGAATAAATTTTTGATCGAATAAAGACTTCTTGCTAAGCAGAAGTCTTCTATTAAAAAAAACTTGTTTCATCATTTTCAGACTGTAGATATGTCCGTGTAATCAAGCATAAACTGAACATGTTTGTTGGCCTTTTTTCCTACACAGAAAAAGTACTCAATGTAATTGCTTTAGCCTAATTTATAATGTGTAAACAAGGAAATGAGCACAATGATGTTTGAGCTCTGAACCCGAGGTGCTGTAAATCTGTTTTTTTATGATTTCTTTATCATCATGACATCAAGACGGGGATTAAATATCATTTTAATTAAATACCCAGAAAAGCATGTGTATCTGTGACTAAATCAAAATGCCAATCTTGCAGTACACTGTAAGAACTGCTGGGTTCCATACTATCTATTTGTGTTGCGACAGCATAAAGGAATTAAGTTAACTTACTAGTTTTTACAAATTTAGTTTGAACATAAAACAATTAAGTTGTCGAATAAAACCCCCCCCAAAAAACCCACACAAATTGTGTAGTTTCATCTCAATTAAAATAAGTCATTTCAACAGAAAACGTGATTTTTGGAGCGTATTACATGCATTAGACTATTATTATTATTATTACATTTTAAAATAAAGATCAATAGGAGAAATTACAACCAATCAGATTTCAACTCTGCTATTAAAATTCGCTGCCTGACTCGATCAGCATAAAGTAAATCCCAGACAGAAAAACAGACGAGAGAAGGGCTTCACAAGAATGTCTGCATCAGATCTCTTCTCATCATTTGCTTGAGCAGTTAATTAGTAACCTCAATACTGTTATAAAATGATGTTACTAATGGCAACCATAAACCCCTCAGCATTGTAAAGCCGAGAGGGGTTAACATGTGCGTAAGCCCCTGACATGAATAATGTGGGAAGAACTAATTGTGACCAACATTAAACCGAATGCCTTTATCAGTCATTATCTTAAATAAACACGTTTCACAGGAAATCTGTTACTTTCAAGGCCTGATAACTGGCGACGTGAATCAACGTCGGAGACACTCGCACATCTGAGATCCTCTGAGCTAATGATGCACGAAGGACATTGACTTTTGAGTGACTATTTAACCAGCAGTTTCAGGGTTTTTTTTTTACTTTCTTACCGTGATTCCTAAATATGTTGTCTTCTTACCGATTACAAAAAACTTGGTAACACTTTAAGTTAGGTTATTAATTTATTACCTATTTATTATGATATTAACTGTTCATTAGTAGTTATAAAGTTTGATTCTATTCTGCATCCCTAATCCTACCCAATATTTCTACCTTACTAACTATTAATAAATAGCTAATTAGTAGTTTATTAAGCAAGTAGTAATGTTAAGGGTTTATTAACACTGTGAAATAAAGTGTTGCCAAATAAATCTGTTTTTCTATAAATTATTTTTTTATTTTCTCCATAAATATGGGAACCATTTTAAATTTTTGTTGAATTTTGTGTTTGATACCATTTTTTTCTTCCCTGCAAAGAAAACACAGCTTCTTTCTTTGTGGGTACATTGAAAACAATCATTTAATGCATTTATTTATTTGTTTTTGCAGTGCTTGCAAACAATTTATATGAGCTGAATTTAAACAAACAAATTAAATTTAGCGATGTTCAACGTAATTTGTTTAAAATCAACACATATAAATTGTTTGCAAGCACTTACCTTAAAAAATAGAGTAAATCCAATGAATAATTTTGTTTATTGTATTTAAGTGTGAAATCCATTAGCAGAGATTACCAAAAGTCACACATGAGAGCAGGTGAAGCACTAAAAAGCGCATGTAAACCGGTGATAAACACTTTGCTGACTGTGATGACTTGTAAGAAAATGTGTTACCAGCTTGACCCCCGGTCACGATTACTCTTTCAAATCAAAGCAACTCAGTAATGTGCAACACTCATCTAAATGTTAGTTCAGTATGCACACGTTTTAATGGTGAGGTATTACAGTTTATCAAAAATCTTTCATATTAATTACCTGTAGTTTAAATACATTAATATATATATTTATATTTGTCATTTAAAAAAGTAAACAAACAAACAAACAAAGAAATGCATGCTTTTACAATACATCTCGTCCAGTACTGCAAACCCTTGGCAATTGAATTTCTTATTAAAAATAAATTCAACAAATTAACATTTTAGATGAAAAACAAAACACAATGTAGTATTTGACTTAATTTTAACCCCATATGTCCACACACACCAAAAAGAGCTGGTGAATCATAAAGCACAACGAAGGTAAAATATGATTACTATTTAATGAAAGTCCAAAATAATAATAATAATAAAAATAAAAAAGCTTCAGGCCTCCTTGTGTTTTTATGATTATATGAAATCATTAAGTCTGAAGAGGGAAGGAATCAAAGTATGTCACAAGAACTCCATTTTAGGACTTTGCACCTTTAGACACGGCCAAACCAATAAGACCAGCCAATCCGGCCACGCCTAATCCAATACCACCGACAATCGCCATGCCGACTAAACCATCTGAAACAGAATGAGAAAACCATCATTTGTTTTTACTCTGCTAAGATTAATCTAATATTTCCTTTGGTATTAACATTTGTGTTTAAAAGGTTTTACATGCATTTTAATATCTATATTCAGTCTACACACACTGCCACTTTATTAGGTACACCTTTTGCCTTCAAAACTGCCTTAATCCTTCGTGGCATAGATTCAACAAGGCACTGAAAATATTCCTAGAGATTGTGGTCTATATTGCCATGATAGCATCACACAGTTGCAGCAGATTTGTCGGCTGCAAATCCATGATGTGAATCTCCCGTTTCACCACATACCAAAAGTGCTCTATTGGATTGAGTTCTGGTGACTGTGGAGGCCATTTGAGGACTGTGAACTCATTGTCATATTCAAGAAACCAGTTTGAGATGATTCATGCCATCAGAAGATGGGTACACTGTGGTCATAAAGGGATGGACATGGTCTGCAACAATACTCAGGTAGGCTGTGGCATGATGCTCAATTGGTACTAACGGGCGAAAAGAGTGCCAAAATATCCCCCACACCATTACACCACCACCTCCACCTGAACCGATTGTTGCAGCAGAAATCGAGACTCATCAGACCAGGAAATGTTTTTCCAATCTTCTATTGTCCAATTTCAGTAAGCCTGTGCTAAATGTAGCCTCTGTTTCCTGTTCTTAGCTGACAGAAATGGCACCCAGAAATTTGTGTTAACAAACAGTTGGACAGGTGTACCTAATAAAGCAGCCTGTGAGTGTATATTCATGTGCCATTTACACAAAGGGCTTCTCCTCATCTATTAAACATGAAATCAATGCTTATTCTATGTTTAAGATAGTATCTACAGTTATTGTGTAATGTCAATTCAACCTATATAAGCATTTAATCTATATACTCTCACACAGGAAGGTCAATATAGTCTCAAATATACTTCATTAATCAAACTAGTAGTGTATCTTTCAATGTAATGCAGGTGAATTGCAGGGCTTGTGCAAACACATTCCTACGATAAGATGCTTTTTAAATAAAATGGCGTCCTTGCTGAATCAATGTTTAACTCAAAATCCTAATCAAAAAGGCCCTGACTGAGTTTCAGATTTGATGTTCAGATGCAGTTGAATCTCACCTTTTTTCAGTGCATCCTTTATGAGTTTTTCTAGCTCCAGGGCCTGTTTGTTGTCCGGTTCATTCTTCAGAAGCGTACGAATGTACTTCAGTGCTCTCTCATACTCCTGAAAGAAGAAGAATTGATTTAGGATGGGAGAAGTCAGTCAAACGAAAGGAGAAGGATTTTATTTGAACAAATAATCAATGAAGAAATAATCAATGTGCTTTAAAACACTGTTTCTAGAGGCCCATGAAAAGAAAGATTTGTGGATATCTTCCTTATTCTTGTCTCTGTATTATGGAAATGATTTCTAAAGGTGATGTGAAACTTGGTGTAATGGCTGATAAAAATTTAGGTCTGCAATCACAGGGTTTGAAAACTGTTACTTAAAGTGGCTACATTTCAATATTTGCTGCTAGGTTTTTAATTAAATAATTAATGTAGTTTTGATACAAAAAACTTCAACAAAGCTTTTCAGTTTCTACTCAAAACAGTCCTCCAAAAAGTTTTTTTTGCTGCGAGTTAAATTTACTTATTTAAAACAACACAATTTTTTGGGACAACTTAACTGTTTTAATTTAATCGACATAAATGAATTGTGAATGAACCCAGCATTTTCTTACAGTGTAAAAAACCAACAACTAAAAATTGCTAGTGGACAGATTACTGTGACACATACAGATATTTTGTATTGTATGCAGGCAGTTCTTTAAGAAATGTGACTTTCTTTTGTTAGGCAAAACAGTGTAACATTTCAAGTAGATAAAGTTGACGACAAAAATTATTAGTCCTCGTGTGAAATTAAAAAAAATTTCTCACATAATTTTTCACAGTATCTCATATAATTTTTTTCCTGAAGGGAGAATGTTTTATTTTATTTAGTTTGGATGGAATTTCTTTTTTCAATTGGCTACAGAACAAACCACTATAACCTAATGTATTGAATAATTAAACTAGTTAGTTGTGTAAATATAGATAGTCAAACCAGAAATTATTCTGGGACCTTCAGCATTTATAAAACATGACAAACACAAAGTTACAGTCCACTGCATATCTAAGTAAATGCCATTTTGAAAATGAATATAGGCAATGTATTTTGGTGCTTTTAAAAAAAACTGATTTATTAAACAGATATATTTATTAAAATAATATTTTGTCACCAAACATATTTAGAAATTGAAAGGTAATACAATTATCTTAAATTTTTTTTTGCTTCTCTTGATTTTTTCTCTTTTTAAATTTATATTTAATATTTTTTATAACATATAAATTTGGGTGTACTAGTCTTTGGACCGTTATAAGTTATTTTGTTAGATAAGCTCCATATTTGGCTTTAGTACTGACTAAACTAATGTATATGCACAAATATAATATTGTATAGCTTCCTATTAAAAATATGAATTTAAAAGAAAGATTTGTGAGGGGTGTACTCGTATATGCTGAGCACTGTATTTGCCGTTAAACTGTGTCAGTAGAACAAATTCCTCCTGTACTACACTACTTTCAAGTTTGCGACTTTCCCACGATGCTGTTATTTATGTTTCTGTCTGCATCTCTGTAAAGAAGTGTAATATTGTGCCCATATAAATTCTGAAAAATACAACCATATACAATCTATTTTGTGACACCATTATATAAACGATAAAGCATAATGAAATGATGGACTTTTTTATTCCGTCCATATGATATATATTATCATACACAATTTCATCAGAGACTAACAGTCCTCAGGCCTGTAGCCAGCCTGGTGAAAGGAGTGGTTAGTTTTTTCTCAAAAAGTGGACCTTTTTGCAGTTATACGCCTCAGTTTCTATTTAACTATGAGATTTAAATACTGCATTTTAGTGATTTGTTTGCTGGATTAGCTAGTCAGATGTCATCATAATCATACTTTTTGATGTACTAAAAATATTTCCTAAAAAATTGCAATAAAAAAAAATACTAAAAGGCTACATTGTTAAAAATACAAATTTATTACATCATTTATCATTGGGACAAAAGTTTTAAAGTAAAAAAAACTGCAGCTGACTGCCAGCACATTCAAAATACATGCACATATGATTTCAAAACAACATTAGCACTATTTAATTGACTGTGAACAATGTTGTACTTTGATAGTCATTGGCTACTAATAGGGTTGCAAATTTACTGGTACTTCGGTAGCATCGCGATACTAAGGCTCCAAAATACTGGCAGTGACTCTGTAGTTTGTAAACGGTAGTATTATCATTAATGGTTCAGTTCATTTTTTATTACTGTAAATATGATTTAGCTACAATGACCACGACAATCTCTTAAAAAGAACAACTTACTAAAGTGAAATTTGTTATTACTTTGGATTCTTACTACATAAAACTGAAAATAAAAAATACAATAGAGGAGAAAAACCGAAAATAGCAATAGGAAACACTAAGAAAACACAATTTTTTTTATTACCTCATATTTTGTTAAAAAAATTGTCTTTCTGTAATGAATTTCATTTGGTATAATTTGTATCTTATTTTTAATGCATTTTTTGTTGGTCAGTTATCTACAAAATAACAAATAACATTTAAGGTGAAGTGATGTGCGTCAAAAGCCGCTATACTTGTTATCGTGATATATTTGTTTTGCTGGTATAGTATCATGGCCTAAATTTACGGTATCGTGACAACCCAAGCTACTAATAAGATTTCCATATTTAAAACTTGCAAAGAATATTTTTCTGAAGTTAATAAGTGTGAATGTGCGATTATAAAACCAATTTTACAATAATTCTTGTGTCAAAGCAGGGGAATTGTGTTTATAGTTTAATGAATTGGGTGAGCTTTCTCAAAAATGGCGTTATGGTTTTTAAAATTTTAAATAAAAGTCTAGTTTAGTGTTTTGGCAAATCAAGTAAAACTGAAAGAATGTATCATCAGTGACAACATCATCCCAAACATGGATTCAGGATTCATCACCCACCTTAAGTCTGTAATTTGCAACAGCAAGGTAAAAGAGAAAATCTCTCTGGTCATCTTTTTTGCTTGTGTGAACCAGTTCTGGTGAAAGAAAACATTTGAGTGAATTATCAAACACGAACAAGCAGGCAGTAACAAACCAAAAAAAAAAACAAAAAAAAAAAAACAAGCTGAATCACAGACCTTCTAAAAGCTGAATGCCTTTTACAATGTCATTTGTGTATTTGCTTCTGATTAAACACCAGGCATATTCAAAAGTAGTGTCTCTGGAAACGGGTCCTTTCACCAGCTCTGCGTTATACTTCTTTTCAAACTTCTGCAAAATAAAAGTCATGTCAGTGGATCTAATCACTCCATTTGACCTGTAGGATGATGATGATGATGTCAGGATCATGTGCTCCCCCTGGCAGACAAACGTAGACTATCTTTTACAGGAAACTGATTAATTACACTTTGTCTTCTATTTTAAAGAAAATAAAATTATGTATTTGACACGATAGGAGGCATTTTAATATTATGGAGTATATACCGTATTATACAAACATAAACTAATAAAAAAGGTGTATTAGATATCTCAAAACCCCGTAGTGTTAGATGTTATAACAGTACGTTTACTGTTCGTCAATAAAGATCGTCAAAATAACACAATGAGTTAAAGATACATGAGTGAAATCATATATAATGTCCATTATTTTTGTTTTGGGGTGTACAGTAGAAGTGCGTCAGTCGAAAGCCTTGGTATAAACCCGACAACGGTGATTACACTATATAAAACAGTTTCATAAAGACGATATCTAAGTCATTTTTGATTCACAGCAGTGAAAAGACTGATTAAAATGCTTTAAAATACCTTTAGATCTTCTGGTGCTACTATGTCTGACACAACCGCCTCCATCTTCGCAGAGAAACCAAACACTGGAAGGTTCAGGGCGTTGTCAAAATAAAAGTCAGTGATTGCGACACACCGTTTTAATAGTGAGGCAGCAATCTATCTCGCTGTTTTTAATTAACGTTAGTTTAAATGAATTCTGTGGTTATCGAGTTCTATGTTATTTTGATATATTAAAGGCTATGCGTTTCACCTAATCAAATTTCAGTTTGTTAAACATAAACATTTTATTTTAAAGCATACTTAAACATACAGATATTTTACTATTCCCATTCCTATTATTTACTATTTACTATTGTGATATCATGGTAATATTATATAGTATATTTCAGTTCACTTTAAATGCCTTGAAAAAAATGGAGAGAAAAATATATACGTAATCCCCCAAACTGTTAAAAATATAATTTCCATCACAGAATGTAAAACCATAGGCAATGTAATGAACGTGTGTATGCAGTTTCATAAAAAAAATACAACCAGCAAGACTGAGATTGTGAAACGGAAGAGTTTACTGGGTAAAACTTTTCTTTTTTTTTTTTTTTTTTTGCAAAAAACAGTTGACAAGTTTGTAGCAATATTTGTTTACAATCCAAAATATGAATTACATTGTCAATGAAAAAGAGACATGAGAGCGAAAAAGAGAAGAAGAAAAAAACAAATAAAGAACATGATATAAACTTGAGGGTAAGACATTTAAGAATCAATAACAGTACATAAACTAAAGTCATTACAAAATGAAATAGTTCTGTTTGCTTTCTTATTTTTATATAATGAATTTAAATGTACAGTATATAATGACTAAACTCTTGCAATTACTGGGTAACACTTTACAATAAGTACTTAATAATAATAATTAAATTAATACGTAAACTAAACATTACTATAATTATGAATTAATGATCAGTAAAGGTATGCGCTTATTTATAGCTTAAAGAAAAATCACCAAAAGAGACATTCCCTAAACAAGTGAGCAACAGACTCAGAAGAAGTCTCACAGAAAGAGCAAGACACGTCAACGTCATTTTTGTAAAAATTGTTTAACTGGATGAAACCCATGCATAATTTTAAAAGACATTTCTTTAATTTTATTTGTTAAAACATTTCTGAGGGAGTGACCAAACATACGACCATTTAATATCATCAAAAAAGTTGTTTCAATAAGAAATAGAAGAAGGATTTGAGATGACAAGACCTGATTTTATGATGAAACAAATGGATCCATCAACAGTAGAATCAGGACTATGGTGATATACAGAAATAAATAAATTATTAATATTTCTAAAAAGCATACAAATCCCATAAGATGGCCTTACAAACAATATTAAATTATTTTTTAGATACGGGCAGAGTAGCATATATCTTACAGTAAAATTAAAAATACAGTCAGAATAAGTAAAAAAATACCATTACTGTCAAATAACTGGTTCACTAATATCGCCACATTACTGAACCAGTTATTAAAGAATAAAGATTTCCTCTTATCATTAGGCAATGCTAGCAGGGATATTCCTTCGTTGTCTTTTATTTTGTACAAGTGCATGTCCAGAAGTCTTGTCAAGCTTCCGCTAGGCGTCGCTCTCTTCACGGCAGGCACTTTTTTCCAGGGGTTTCAGTACAGCGTAACCGCTACTGCGTCATCGGGTGGGCGTGGCCTATCGGTGAATTTGCATAGGTCACGAATCATGCGCAGATTGTGAAAACAGCCGTTTGATTCAGATACCTGTACGTATTGCAGGGGTTTCGTGTCAAATGCCTTTTATATGCAGTACTAAATAGCTGTCCTGATCGCAGGTGTTTCATGTGAAGTCAGTGAATGTTATATTAAACAAATTAACTTAAGATACCTCTCAGATTACATTAATACTGTTATAACTTAAGATACCTGTCCCAATCCCACGGCTTTTGTGCCAAAAACTTTATATATCATATACATTACCATCAGATACCTGTCCTGATCCCAGGTGTTTCATGTATGATCACTTTTATATACATTAACATCAGATACCTGTCCTTATCCCAGGGGTTTCATGTATGATCACTTTTATATATATTAACATCAGATACCTGTCCTGATCTCAGGGGTTTCATGTATGATCACTTTTATATATATTAACATCAAATACCTGTCCTGATCCCAGGTGTTTCATGTATGATCACTTTTATATATATTAACATCAAATACCTGTCCTGATCTCAGGTGTTTCATGTATGATCACTTTTATATTATATACATTAACATCAGATACCTGTCCTGATCTCAGGGGTTTCATGTATGATCACTTTTATATATATTAACATCAAATACCTGTCCTGATCTCAGGTGTTTCATGTATGATCCCTTTTATATTATATACATTAACATCAGATACCTGTCCTGATCTCAGGGGTTTCATGTATGATCACTTTTATATATATTAACATCAAATACCTGTCCTGATCTCAGGTGTTTCATGTATGATCACTTTTATATTATATACAGTAACATCAGATACCTGTCCTGATCTCAGGTGTTTCATGTATGATCACTTTTATATTATATACATTAACATCAGATACCTGTCCTGATCTCAGGTGTTTCATGTATGATCACTTTTATATTATATACAGTAACATCAGATACCTGTCCTGATCCCAGGGGTTTTATGTATGATCACTTTTATATATATTAACATCAGATACCTGTCCTGATCCCAGGGGTTTTATGTATGATCACTTTTATATTATATACAGTAACATCAAATACCTGTCCTGATCCCAGGTGTTTCATGTATGATCACTTTTATATTATATACATTAACATCAGATACCTGTCCTGATCCCAGGGGTTTCATGTATGATCACTTTTATATATATTAACATCAGATACCTGTCCTGATCCCAGGGGTTTCATGTATGATCACTTTTATATTATATACAGTAACATCAGATACCTGTCCTGATCCCAGGGGTTTTATGTATGATCACTTTTATATATATTAACATCAGATACCTGTCCTGATCCCAGGTGTTTCATGTATGATCACTTTTATATTATATACAGTAACATCAGATACCTGTCCTGATCCCAGGGGTTTCATGTATGATCACTTTTATATTATATACAGTAACATCAGATACCTGTCCTGATCCCAGGGGTTTCATGTATGATCACTTTTATATATATTAACATCAGATACCTGTCCTGATCCCAGGGGTTTCATGTATGATCACTTTTTTATATATTAACATCAGATACCTGTCCTGATCCCAGGGGTTTCATGTATGATCACTTTTTTATATATTAACATCAGATACCTGTCCTGATCCCAGGGGTTTTATGTATGATCACTTTTATATTAGTTAACATCAGATACCTGTCCTGCTCTCAGTTGTTTTGTGTATGATGACTTTAAATAAAAATAGAAAATAAATATGAGTTATGTTAATTAACTAAGATCGAGAAAGAAAAATTAACCACGATTTATTACAGAAAATGTGGTATTTTTTGTTGAAACATGACTGAATACCATATTTAAACTACAAAAACACGGTTAATCTTACCACAACCATTATTATTTGGTTTAAAATGGAAGTACAAAAGCCCAGAGACAGTAAAACGGAGTAAAACGAGGTCAGCCGTTTTTGCTAATGAAATCTTTAAAATATAACATTATAAAAACAAAAAAATAACCTGTATGATTGTTTTTTCCCTCGTTATCCACCGCGGTAGGTTCTTTATCCATAATCATCCTGTTTGAAATGACCGCGCTAAAAAAGAACCTGTACTGCGCATGATCGGTGACCTCTCAGTATTGTTTTTTTTTTAAGGGGGCGTTTCCCAAACACCGACCGAGCCACGCCCATTTTACGTCGTGGTAATGAAACCCCTGGAATTTAGTGCATGCCCTCTCTTCACGCCCCTCTGAAAGAAACTCGACACTGATCACGTGGTATGACCGAGTAGGACGGCCATCTTCCCTAAAACACAAACAACAAGAGCGTACTAGACATCAACACGCAACGACCATTGGAGAGGGAGATAGAGCGCTAAAACAGTCAAAACGGAACACGATTCTCGAGGAGGAGCACAGAACACCAACAGCTGCACATGCATCCGAAGTGAAGACCGTAGAGTTCGACTGGGCGACTGGACAGTACAACCGCATCGACAGCTCCAGAAAGACGGTCAGCAACTGTGTGTGTGTGCGCGGTCTCTCCTTGAATGTCTGAAGCTTTAATGGCAGATGGGTGTTGCATTAAGTTTCATGCAAACTTGGGAGGGGAAGGGCAGCGTGTGTGTGCGAGCAGCAAACGCATCTCAGTGTATTAGGAGCTTGAAGTGCTTTAAGCGCTCGGTTCGGTTGACTTAGCATTAATGGTGTTGTTTGAAGTTGAAGGGGGTTTGTATGTTTGGTAAGGCAGCTGTGGCCGTGGGTTGAAGGCCACGGGAAGCAGCGGAGTGGAGTTTGGAGGGGCGCCGCGTGCACATGCAGGGGGAGTGTGCTGGCGATGCACGCGCATGCACACTCCCCCCTCCCTGTGCACGCGACGCCCCTCCAAATTCCACCAATCAGTCGAATAAACGACACTAACCTGCTTTGGTCGCCGTTTTCGTTGAACGAGATGGATATGAAGCACCAACATATCACCAGTGACAAAACATGCGCCTTTTAGCGTACTTTGAGTTCAAAGACACGTCGAGTTTAAACGGGCTAATAATTACTGGTACGTAGTTATTAGCTGATCGAGTCGTTTGTTTGAGTCTGATGTTTTCAAAGAGTCGATTGAGCCAATTCACGAGTCGAACTGAACTCGTCAACAACTCACAGAATCGAGAACTGGCAGATTGGTGTTTTATCTAGAATTTAATGCAACTGTGTTTGGAAAGAATTGAGGAATTAAGAAAAGTGATGAATGATGTGTTCAAAACCTTCTGGAAAGTTCATCATTTGTATTCAGTGTCATTTTCTCACATTACATTCAGGTAGCCTTATTCTACATGAGTGTGCATTGAATTTATGTTTGCTTTCGTGCTACTTTTTTATATTGTGTCTCTGGTCTGAGGAATAATCACGGTTATCACGATTATTATGCATTCATTAATTTTAAAACCCTACTAGCCAGTGGTGTAAAGTAACTAATTATAAATACTCAAACTACTGTAATCGAGTAGTTTTTCTCAAATCGTAATTTACTAAGTAGTTTTATTGATAGTTCAAAATCTTTACACGAATTGACCCAGAGACTGGTTAGATGCACTGTATGATGACCGAAATGGCCTTTTACACCCAGCAGGCAAAGGACGTCAACATGGTGTCAGTTTGATGTTGTATCCCAACTTCATGAACGTTGCATTTTATTTTGAAATGAAAGTCAGGTTGAGAATGTTACAGCTTGAAGTTGTGTGGACGTTACCACTATCACGTCTATCAGACGTTGGATTTTGGTTGCCTTACTAGATGTATAAATGTCAGTATTTGACGTCAATATGACAGTTGATGACTTTATAACAACCTAAAATCAAGTATCAACGTCATTTGACATCATTATTGGACATCAAAATAACACCCTTAGATGCATTGATTTTTTTTTTGTCACCTGACGTCATGACCTAACTCTAACCTAATATTAACATCTTTTGACCTTGTGTGCCTGCTGGGCAATAATGGAATGCACTACAGAATGTTACGTGTACACACATCCACAAATGACATGTAAACACATTAGCTTTTTAAAGCGTAACACTTACTACTCGCTACTCTTGAGTACTTTTGAAAGCTCTACATTTTACGCATACTTTGAGTAATATTTACAACAGATACTTTTACTCCCCCTTTCAAGTTTAGGCAGGTAATGGTACTTTTACTTGAGTATGATTTTTCAGTACTCTTTCCATCACTGCTACTAGCTTAGAAAATCTCATGAAAACTAATATTTTACTGTTATTTATGTGTGCTCAGTAATTAAATAATACAGCACAAAATATCAAAATTATAATATTAAAATGATCAAAACAGGCCATAATAAGTAAAAATAAGAAAAAAATAGTATTTTCAAATGCAAATCTAAGCTACATATTAGCCAAGTATTTCCCTTTTAAAGAGAACAAATGTAGTCAAAGGATGCTGAATCTCTGTCTGAAGAGCACTTTTGATCAACAATATTATGAACTTGTTTGGTATTTTCATTTTGTGTTTTTTTTTTTCTCTTTCGAGTACAAATGTGTATATTCCATACAAAAGCATGAGCTGAATTGACGAATTAAAGCGCAATTAACTCCACAAGACGAGATAAGACATGAGATTGGGTTCACGAGGAAGAGACAAGATTTGTACAAAATTAAGAAATCTTAAATTAAAATCTTTTGTTTAACTAAAAAAAGAAATCACAAAACTATTTAGATGTATTTATAAAATAAACTTTTAATGAATGTAAATATACTTCTATTTTAATGAATTCTAGGCAGTAAAGAACATGAAAACACTGCAAAATATTTTGCAGTTAGCCCATGTGGATGGAAAATGGTCATTTTATATATAATTTTGAATACTAGCAAAATATTTGCCAGTATATGAATGGAGACTAGATTTTTATTCAACTGAAAAACACAGATTGCAAAACAAGTGTTCAAATCAAGATCATGATTCTTTCTCATAATTCTGTAAATGTAAAATAAAGGTTAAGATTATTAGCCTATCATTATTATTGTTAATTCTCAAACGAATGGTAAAACAACAATAATAATAATAGGCCTATGTGTAGATCTACTGTTGCTTAAAATGCTAAATTTTGTATTATGGTGGACTTGAACAGACTTTCTAATATGTCCCGTTTGTTATTTCACAGTAAAATGATGACATCAGAATATACCCATTCATAATTATAAAATGGAATTATTATGTTTGAGACATGTGCTTGTCATCTGTCATTGAGAACATTATTAGACCATTATATTTCAATTATATATAGGCTAGGGTTTTTATACTGACACAGTAAGCATTTATTTTCAGGCACAACACTGTGTTCGCTATGAAACAAAAAACCTATCAAATGCTTGTATTAATCATACCTCTAAAATGCGATATGATCATTTAAATGATGTGCGCACAGGTTTTACTTTCACACACACATGCAAATCAAACCTTCCGCACGGCCCTCAAACCATTGCTTTGTGCAACAAACTGAATGTTATTTACAACATTATTACCTGTTATTCATAGCATATGCAGGTTGTGTTCACTAAAGCAGTAAACAAACAGTGCGTCAACTTGCGTGCAATTTCGTGACCGTGAATACATCATTACATGAAGACAGAAATGACATTTTGGGTGTATTATACCTTATAAATACAGTATGTGACACTTTTAATGCCATTTGAAGGTACCAGTGTTGCTGTGAAGACTTTTGTGGCCGCCTTTTCTTCTCTCCCAACCTTGAAAATATAATTGGCTAAATCGTAGAAAAAGCTGAATTGGGATCGTGTGTAGGGTCGAATCGAGATTGTGATCTTTTTTCCAGTATAGGAAAAAACTCTTAGCATTTTGCAATGCGGGTGTATGTAGTCCTTCACTCACTCGATAGGTGCAGAGAATAGTGTCAAACAGCCGTGTGTGTGTGCACTATCCTGTCACAAAATGTGGCCTAAGTCCTACATGACTGTAGTAGTTTGATTGCGGTGTCTGTCCTGCACTTCAATAATGTGACTAAATCGGCATACTCTACATGTCTTTATTTGATTTCTAAGTTTGATTATGACCTTAATTGGATTAAAAAAATAATAATTCTCTATTTACATGGTAGACTCTTAATCAGGGTATTGTCTTATTTGCATTAAAATCAGATTATTAGTAATCATACTCGTTGATGATTATCAGCACATGAAACTCTGTTACAGACGGCTTGGTGTTGACATTAAAAATATGTTTCTGAAATAGTTTTGAAGCTTTAACATCCCTTCAGAGTTAAACAGGTGTCATCAGTTGTTCCTGAGTTGACATACATTCTCATGTAGTACTTTGTTTAAGAGCCCAACTCCCCCAGTGAATACTATTTATTCTCACTGGTTTGTTCTGTTGCTTGGATATCTCTGTTGCTATGACATCTGTGGGTGCTTTTGATTAAACCCCAGGGATGTTTCATTTACAACTCCTGTTTTCCTGTTTGCAATAACTCTTGTAGTTGTGCTGTGCAGATGTCAATAGTCTAGAAAGATTAATCCTATATCAAGCTGCAAAAACCTGCACAGTTGCCCTTTCCAAAATGTAGTGTTTTATTGGCAAACCTTAGGTGAACTTTGCCACGAAAGAACAATCTCTGAGAGTAAGATAATACCGTGTGTTTCCTAAGGTACGGCCTATTTTGGTTTGTTTGTGGTCTTGTTTCTCAAAGTCGGTGTGAAACGGAAGTTGCAATAGTCTTTTCTTCCCTATTGTGATGTATATCTGAGTGAAATGGCTTCTTGGACAGGATAAAACAAAGGGCAGGACCTGTTTTGTCCATCCGGAATAGAATGCGTTAGTGTTTGCCAACTTTTTTAGTTTCCGAATGTATTTTTTTTTGATTGATTTTCTTTATTGATGTTTTAAAAAGTATTTGCGCCATGAGGCAAATAAACCAGCTACAAGGACAATTATAGCATTACAAATGTTGGTTTGAAGCAAAGAAATGTTTGAAAATTTACAAATGGACAGAGGTAAAAGACTGTGTACTTAACACATTTTAAATATGGGGGAAAGTTGGTCTGCACGATAAAAAAAAAAATCTAACATTTCGATATTTTAGTTTTGCTACGATATATTGCGATATGAATATAATTTTGGTAAATGAGATAAATAGAAATCTATTCATCTGTTAGTCAAATCTATGAGTGATTGAAATAAATCGTTCTTTGTGTGCTGAATCCATAATTGTGTGTTTTGTTAGTCACATTCAATTAATAAAAGCATGTAAATACTAGGCCTGTCACAATATCTATTTTCTTCTCGTACGATACATTGCACCAAAATATATTGTGATAAACGATAATATTGTCATTTTTTGCCACTCATATAATGCCAGAAGGACAATATAATATAATGCAAGTAGACTCACACATTATATTTTAAAGATTATTTCATTTAAATACAGTCATTTTAACAAATTTAATAATTAGGCATTGGAATCAAAATGTGAAAACATATCCTAAATAAATAATTGTGCAAGGTAAAAAGTAACAGAGGCTGCGATATCTGCTAGCAGATCTATTTTCAGTTGTTAGACAACTACAATACAGATAAAGATGTTGTACAATCAGCTAAAAAGTTGCTAGAATAGTTTTTGGTATATATATTTCCACTGAACATGTCTGTTGGAATACTCCCCCTTTGTGGCAGTTTCAGAGAATTTTCGGTTTTGTCATGCAGTCATCTTCACTGCATGTATATTTATAACAAAACAAGGCCTATTTGTGCAGAATCAGTTTACGTGCTTACATAAATTAATATAGTAACTTACCTTTGTGCTTAGCCAAAACACATTATCTGAGAATAAGTAATCGATTCAAAAGACTAAAGAGTCGGTAGATAGAGACCAGATGAATTAAATATCATGTTTAAGAACTATAGTGAGATGAGATCCAGCGTTGTATTCTTGTTGAACTGTATGACATGCGCTGCTCTCACCTGGGGAGGTGTGCTCAAAGCACCTCAGACATGCGCATATGCTGGGCCACATGCCAGAGTGCGTGTATGGTCATGTGATGTGCGTTTTCAGTTGTATAGTGTGGACTGAGATCTTTTCAGTAACCCAGTGCCCTCTGGCCTTTGTCTGTGATTTACTACTAATCACAGAGCCATGGATCTCTGATAAGATGTGCATGATACTCACAGCTTTTTCTGAATTGCTATTTTGAATAACCATTCAGCCATAGAAATCAGTCTTATTTTTTCATAAATTCCTTTTTTTTTTCTCAAAATGGAGTTTTGCATCCAGAACTTGACTGTTGCTCTCGCTTGTTAATTGGATTGTTGTGGTTTGCTTTTGCTGTGATATCATCTGATGTTCTGTTTTTCCAACGGTTTGATTTGCACTAATTATAATAATTAATATTTTAGTTAGCAGAATTTTAATGATAACTTCAAGGACAATATCTTAAACAAGGGTAAATTTTTTTTAAAGTTTGCTTGTCTTAAAATTTATTGTTCAGGATCACAGGAGCGTGTTGGAACTTGACTGCTTTTTTTAATGGATGTATTTATAATATATTCAACATTTAGATACGTTAAATACTAGGGATGTAACGTTATCAGAATTTCACGGTACGATAACACCTTTGTATAATTGGCACGGTACGGTATTTATTAAATAATTTAAGGGGAAAACAAAACTAATGAAAAGACTCAAAAAAAGTGCCAGAAGTGTTAATTTACCTTAGCACTGAACATATCAATGACATACAAATTAGCCATCTATCTGTAAGTTTCGAAACAGGAACTTCAATTTTTCAATTTTAATAACAAAAAAATCATTAAACCATAAAAAAAAATAAAGTTTTAATTTAGTATGTTGAAAACTTATCACATTCAACATTTAATAACTCACTCACTTAGATAGAGATGGGTTTTTTAAGCAAAATTATCATATAACTATAATCTGGTAAAAGCTGGGATCTCTGGGCATGTCCCCTGCAACAGAAAAAAAAACCTTTCATTTGGGACTGAGGTTTCTGGGACAGAGAGATATGATTTAGCCAAGGTTGACAGCAGTGGGTAACGTTGTGCATTGTCTTTCCACCACTTGAGAGGACAAGCCATGAGTGAGATAGAGGTCTCTTTGCGGTACAAGTCAATGTCTGCATTAATCTAACAAGTGTGCTGTGTTCTGCAGTCCCCATGACTGTTTTTAGTCGTATTCCCTGACTTATATTTCACCACAGTTTGGCAGTGGCTGCATACTGTTTTTTTCTTTGTCTGTCACCTTTTCTCCTTTTTTTTTCTCCTTATCTTTTTAGAAAGAAACCGAAATGCTTCCACACATCCGAAATCGATTTAGGTTCAATCATTTCCAGCTCTTTTCTTTCCCGCTACTAGCAACACACTCCATTTCCGCATTACTCAATCTGTTGTAACAACAGACCGCAAAGGATGATGGCCACGCCTAGGCTGATGGGAATTGTAGTTCCCGCTACCTCCTGTTCGCTTTATTCCCCTAAGCAAACTTTTCTCAGAAATATAGTTTTATTGAGTCATGCGCCTACGGTAATATTGGAAAAAAATTACTATTTTGACGGTATTTACAATATTGTTACATCCCTATTAAATATATATACATGCATTTAGGCTATAATAAAGAATGTTTTTTGTGTGTGTTTCTTTTTTTTTCTGCTGCAGATAAAGGAGGGAGAGGGACTGTCGGCGTGAGGAGAGGGTCACCATCTGGGACCTGGTCCACACAGCATTGCCAGTATAGCAAAAAGAGTTAGAAAGGTTCACATACAAATAGACAAAGGGAGAAGCTTATTTGGGGTCATACCTGCTTCTGGCTGCTGTATAGTCAACAAGTTAGTCTTTTCTTTTTTTTGTTTGTCTATTTTTTGTTCGCTGCAGTCAATCGACTTTAGACGTCAGTATCAAAGCTGCAGTTTTGCAGTCCAACAGGTATTATACATTTTAGAGGGCTTTATTCATTTTTTGGATTTCCATTTGTGTTTTATTTGTTTGTTTGTTTTCATCGGCTGTGAACAAGAGAGCACTTAACGTGTCTGACCTTTTGTATTTCTGCTCTCTTGCACATACACCCTATATAAGGCAGCTATAAATCATCTTCTCTCTTAAGTTGGCTACTCTAAAATACACACATACACACACCTTTCAACCCTTTCACTCTCACCCAGACCTGGTCCAGCCTATTTTTGCCTGCGCCACTCCCCTGGACAGGGTAAGAATGACATTTTTGAATGGCTGTGTTTGTATATAGGTGACGATAAATAGAAATTAATAAGTTTAAGTTCTCAATGTGTACTATTAAGCAAAGGATGCTTGCAGTGTATTGTAATGCTTATGTCCAGGTATTTTGGTTGCAGATTTTCACCTCTGAGAAGGAAGGAAGAATATGACTGCTGAAACACTTAACTTTGGCCCAGAATGGTAAAATCCCTTTCTTTCTATGCCAGATCTTTGTTTTCCCTCCCTCCCTGTTTTTTCCCCTCTTCTTTCTTTTTTTTTTTTTTATAATTTCACTCCTTCACAAACTCCCATTTTTTCCCCACTGCACTGCATTCCCTGGTTTATTATCTTGACAGATTTTTAAAACATTATTAAATTGAGAAGCAGCAATGTAGTACTTTACATGTAGTAGCCCATAACCTTTAAAAGTTAAAGTGACACAAGACTTTTTGCCACATTGTTATACATGTGCAGCACTGTTGTTAGTGTTTTTTTTTTTTGTTTTTTTTTAAGCGGTGGTCCAGATTGAATCTTTAAGGCTTGGTTGTGTTTGTAAGATTCAAAGCAATGTGTGCTCATACTTCATTTGCAGAAAATCGTTTTTTACATATATCTTACTTTGATTACATACAGCTAACATGAAAATGACTACCATATTTCCTATTTCCTCTGAAAGGCCTGCCCTTAAGGGGCTCTAATTGGTCAGCTACCATAATGTGCTGTGATTTGCAGATCGGCTCCACGTCACCAGGAAAAGCATCACGCGTCTTTAAGCATGCGCTTTGTAAACACTGTCTGTCAGAGTAGCTGTTAGCCTTATCAGTTTATGCCTGAATCAGAAAGAAAATGAAGAGGACACAGCTGAACCTCATGTCTGCTCTCTAAAATAAAATCTGACAAGTGTCTTTCATAAATATTCAGAATAAACTTGTGTAAGTAATATGAAACGTTCTCATATCTTTTGCGAGTTTGTTGTTTGAGATGTAGAACGCACAGAAAGCGGTTGCATAGACAGACACTGCACACGCTTCTGAAGATTGTGGCTGTTTAGAGCAGTCTGACAGATGAATATGAATTTGTAGCTAAATTGTTAATGTGCCAAACAGCATTTTGCGTTGTTTTGTCCTTGTTTACGTCCTTGCTACAACATACCGCTAACACTAGACACTGTGCATATAATAGATCAATCTGAACAAATAAAAATACTTACAGGTTGTGGCTCACAATCCACAGCTTCTTCAGTTGAAGAAGTTTTAGCCGAATCCAGCACTGAACTGGGAGAGACCCTAGTAGCTGTCTTTTGTCAAGTGCTAGCTATATTCTATATAAGCGTTTGTGATCTCGCTAACCTGAATGTATGTTTTTGTAGACTCAGTAAAAGCCAATGTCTCCTTTTGCATTGAACTTTGATCGTTTTACATTCAAAGATGTTGTTTATGTTGACACAGCTACATTACACATCAACTAATGATATCATATTAGACCACCCCTTTAAAGAACTTTTAATAGTTTTATTTTTGTCTGTCTACAATCGAACAATTCAGAGATTTATGATGGTACAAAAAGTTTATTATTTAATATTTTACTTATTTTTTATCGATATTTTAGGAACAAATTACAGGTGAAAACGATCAAAACAAAATATATATATACATAAAATGCTAAATTAGCCACAACATTGTAAAGTAAGCGAAATTATCAAAATCAAACATTTACGAAATTGTCCAAAATAAAGGTTGCCAAAATTTCTGTATCAATGACACAACATCCAAATTCATGTGACGTTTTAAATATAATCCATTATTTTGTTAAAGAAAGAGCCAGCCATTTATTCTCAAAAGATTCTTCTATTTCTATTTCCAAACCTTTTCGTTTGAAGGGCTAAAAAACAAATATCAGTGATAGCTGTGGGCTGAAAATAAACATACCAAACTGTATTACATTAAAGTTGCCATGGTTAATTTCCTAATTTATCACCTGATAACTAAAAAGAAATAGAAAACATCACTTTGAATTGTATTACCTAATGCAGTGTAACTTAAAATATCTGTTGCAATAAAAGCATAATTATTAAAATATACAGTGGAGTTCAATGCTGAGTACGCTAGTCTGAATCTAGGCTGAATCTGTCTTTGCCTTGATTTGCTCACCAAAGTCCTTTATACGTTGGAAGTGTACGTATGTACACTTAAAACTAAATCTGATTAATTAAAACTATTTAAATTTTAACATTTAATTTTAGATAGTTTTTTGTAGCTAAACAATAAAACAAACAAATAAAAGGTTATATTAAATTTCAGATGACAATCTCTAAACCATCCCCATCATTCTCCCTCTCTTCTCAGATGGGATGGTGGGCCAAATCAAAGGTTGCCATGGGCGAACTTTGGCCTGTGAGCCCTAGTTTGGGGATCTCGGTTCTATTTCCAATCTAAGATGTTCTCGATTTCTATTAATCAAATTAGATAAAAAAGAAATTGTTTCGAAATATGTGGATTTTGTTTGCTGAAAACATTAAGCTGTTTTCAGCATTTATAAGCATAATATATGTTTTCACAGTTGTGTACATTAGACTAATTTCTGGAAGCGACACTGCAGGATTGAAAAAAGACTACTGAACATATATTATGTGTCTATTGATATTTTAGTTATGTATTCGAGGTGTTTAAGAAATAATATTCAGTAAGGTTTAGTATAGATTTTGAATGCCAGATATTTTGATGTGAATTATAAATTAGACTATAATCTTAAAATGTGAGGCTATGTGGGCTATAAATGCCTTTTATCACATGGCCTTAATAAGTTTGTATATATAATTTATAGCCATATGTTCGAAAATATCTGTTCTGAATTGCTCCAATGTAGCTTCAAACTGTAGTATACCAGGCTTGGCGCTACAAATTTTAAAGTATCTTTCCATATTTCTGTAAATCTCTTTCTCTCTCTGTTCTGTCATTCCCTTCTTCCCAACCCCCTTCTCTCCCTGTATCTCCTCCTGGCACACACTAAATGATTATGCAGAAATTAAACCGTTAGGCGTGGTCCTGTGCTCAACTAAGGCTCTTCTGTGCATAGTTGGTCCTCAGCCAACGAAAGTGAATTCCTGGGTTTGACATGTACAATGCAGGGGTGGTATGTTTCCTCAAAGCTGCCTTCATCAGCTTATCTCAGCAGGGTTGTATTTATGTAAAGTTTACAAAGCCGTCCGTGGCTCTGAAAGCCCATTTCTACAAAAAGGTGCCTCAGCCGGTGCCTTTTTGCTGCAGGAAAGTGCTTTCAGTCAGGAAAAACAGCTTTGCACTGGCCCCTGAAAGCTGCTGGGCTCGAACCAGGAACCGCTTGCGTCAGATGCCGGAGGCAGGATAATGTCAGCAGCAAGTAAAGTTGTCAAAACAACAATAACTCTGGCGAGACTGACACGCAACAAAACCAGATCACTCCTATTATTTTCTGCAGAGCTATTTACACTTTACCATGCATTCTGTTTCTTTATAAAGTAACTGACAAAGCAACTCCAGATACGTAATTTTGCTAAAATGAAGTGTAAACCATGTTTATTAGCATGCAAATTAGGATCGATGCATTTTTTTTATTGAAATAGATTTGATAAAAGTCTCCTTTGTTGACCAAGGCTGCAGTAAAATGTTAGTTATAATGTGAAGTATTACAATAAAAACTATTTTAATTTGTTTTTGAAAATGTAGCTCATTTCTTTAATGGCAAAGCTGTATTTTGAGATCATAATAACGTTTGCACATTATTTGTTCTGTCTCTAGTGTCTCACAATTCTTCAGAAATCATTCAGATAGGCAGATTTTGTGCTTAAGAAGTATTTCTTATTATCTTTATTAATAATTAGGGGCGTGTTTCGTTTTATAGTTGATCTGTGATCCATACTTATCAAAACCCACTAATCGGAACACACGTTACCTGCGGATTAATAACATTTTTGAACTTGTCGGGTAATCCAACATTTAAAACAATTGCAGAGAGATTGGCTCCCGCGTCATTCAATCACATGTATGAAAGCATTTTGGCTTCCCTGGTAAAATATGATGATGGCGGAAAAAGTTGTGTTGGGATCTTTTCTTGGGTTATTAATTAAAGGTGTTTTCTGTCACTGTTTGTTTAGCCTGCAATAATGTATTCAGTGTAAAGCTGAACAATTTAACATTAAAAAAGATTGTGATCTCAATTCAAACCCGCACAACATGAATGATACTCAATGATGATGATTTGCATATTTTTATTAATCCTTCAAAATGTTGCATTCAAATCTGTGTTTAAACAAGATTCAAGTTTTACACCTTTTCAGTTCATTACAAACAATTGAATAATAGATGTATTGGGATAACAGCTTATAGTTCAGATATAAACACTGATGTTTATGATAAAGATTAAAATTACTGCGACGCTCTTGAATGTTATAGCAATTAGATTAGTGTAACTAATGGGTGGCAACAAACAACAATCAAAATGATGTCACTGAATTGGTTTTCAAAAATGATCCACCTATAATGAAACATGATGTTTTATGTGTGAATTGTTAAATCAATAATTTAATATAAATAAATAAATAAATGTTGTACAAGCGTTAGTTTTCTATATTTGACATTGTCTGCAACAGTAGTAAAGATCATTTTTCGTATTGAATATTTATTTTTTCAGCTGGTTCTTTCTGGATTTTTATTTTTATTAAAATTATAGGTTGTAAGTTCTGTATGTTAAAACCAATTTTTTTTGCAGTAATATTTTTGTATAAATGAAAAGCAGTTGACATTTGTCTCCTCCCTTTTTTGCTGATCCGAAAAACGATCTGATTCAAGACTCCAAACCATAGTGTGATCTGAACTATGAGATTTGTGATCCGTTACAGCACTATTAATAATAGTTGTGCTGCTTGTGTCTGTTCAGATTAAAATATTGGAATCTTCTAATTTGTTATAGAATTAGAAATGCTTGCAATGAGCTAGTTAGCAAAATTATATTATAAACAAAAATACGGAGAACATGCTGGAATATCACTGATGATATTAGAGAGTTTATTTTAGATAAACCTAAGAGCCTAAATATCTATATAAATATTATTGGCCAATTGCAGTATTTTTACTGCAGCAAAAAGAACTCATGATGGCAGAAGGATTCTAAATTATTTGTTTTACATATCTTAAAACGGTCTGGTTCTCAGTATTTTCACTGACCAGGCATTAACACAAGCTTCAGTATCATTTTGATGGGGAAAAAAAAAACGGTTGCGATGCATCCTAAATGTAACAGGATGAAGAGTCAGCACTGACAGGGCCATCTCTGGGCAAGAGCCAGGACTAGAGCACTTCTCAATGGAAGCTTCCAGATTGTTGCTGCTGAACATCTTTTGATCGGATTTTTCTTTCTCTCTCTTCTCTTTCTCTCAGGCTTCGTGCACTTTCCAGTGGAAGCAGCTTGTCTTCCCCTCCTGCCTCTCCTGCTATGCCAAAGTACAAGCTGGCCGAGTACCGATACGGCCGAGAGGAGATGCTAGCACTTTATGTCAAAGACAACAAGGTAAGAAAAAGATTTAAACAAATCGGCCTAGTTTTTAAGCTTAGGTTATTTCCCGGCATTCAGCGTGCCATGATTAGGCCTGCTTGTATACCTCATAACAAGTCTAAATATCATAAGGGCTTGCTTATAGTTAGATTAGTTACCATCTTTTGATAAATGGGTGTTTTTCATTTCTCATTGCTAATTTGCCGTTGTGTTCACATGCTCAATAGAAATGACTGTGATTGGTCACCAGTTCACCAAACTCTCTGCTGTTTACTAGGGTTGGGTAATGTCGACCAATTTGGCATTGTATAATGTCTAATGTGAAACATCGCGATGGACAATGGCATCATCGTTGTAGGTGGTGGTGAATCTATTGTTTATGAATGATTAATTCATTCATAACGTATTAGTTATTTGTAGCCTACTGTTTCAACTACCTGACCCTCATAGTCTTTGTTTTACCCATAACCAAATCATAAATAGATAAAGATAAGTTACACACACATTTCCACCTGTCAATCCCTTTTTCTGCAGGACTCTGGCATGAATAGGCAAACTGAGCTGTGTTGTTATAATGGCGTCGACAAACTTTGTTGGTATAAAAGGTTCACAGCCAACAGGAACCAACCAACAGTATTTGAGGTAGTGTACTGACGCAGTGACGCGTTACCTGATAGATCGAGATATACAAAAGACTGAAGAGTCTGTAGATAGAGACAAGATAAATTAAATATCACGTTTAACAACTATAACCAGACGCGATCCAGTGGTACGGCCTTGATTAACTGTCCGGCGTGCACTGCTCTCTGGGGTTTTGTGTTCAAAGCACCCGCTGACTGCCTGGAGCTCAGACGAGTGCATGACAGTGTGCGTGTCTCTCTGTGTATGTGGTCACGTGATGTGCGTTTTCAGCGGTATAGTGTGTACGCAGAGCTGTTCAGAAATGCTAGATGAAATGCAGGTGTGGATGTGGATCATTTTTATTTTCAATTTTAAAGCAAAGACATGTTCATGTAAACGCGGCCTAAGTGTGTATTTTTCGCAAGCGAGAATACAACAGGGGCAGTGTGGAGGATCTTGATGCAGCATCAAGATGTCGGACATCGGCGATGGATGATGGCATCGTCTATGGACCCATCGTCTATAATCAGCTGGTTTGACTATAAGCTGACAAACGAGATCCCCTGATAACTTGTGGCTTTAAAATGCTCCAGTGTCTCTGTGTCTTTGTTTACACTTAGTAAACATCGGTGAGTTTGGTGAACCAATGAACTTCGCGGCCAATCACAGTCATTTCTGTTGAGCACGTGAACACAATGGCAAATTAGCTCTGTTTAAGAACGTGCTCAGTAGAGCTTAAATGTCAGCAGGAAAGGTACGTTTTTACAATTTCAGTATCAATTTGTAACAAATTTCAGTATCGTGCAACCCTAAAAGCAACAGTATGCAACTTTGTCACAGCTCTCCTTGTCGTAGACAAGCAAAATTAACTATACGTAGCTTTGTTGAAATGGATGTTTTTAAAATTTCAGTGTCGATTGGTAAGGAAATTCCAGTATCATGCAACCCTAGTTGCTTTAAATCTACTTCATAGAATTTCTATAAAACATGATAGTTTTAGTGTGGGTTGAGTAAAAAAGAAATGAAAATAAGTGTTTCATTCCAGTTTTCACTTTCTTGTGTTATTGCATCAGATTTATCTAATTATTGAAATGTGACTGTCCATTTAAATGCTACTCTTATTGAAACTTTTATTGTTTTTGGGGTATGTCAAAGCACGGTCTTCACCTCCTATTAATAGAAGAAGACTGTATGCATGTTATATCAAGAAAGCTTTTTTGAAGTTTCACTGAAAACTCAAGGGATTTGATTGGCACTAGTTATCGCATACCTTTTCAGTTTCCATCTCTTCATGTTTGTAAATTTCATTTGCTGGATATGATAACACGTCATAAAAGTGTGTTATCTGCAATATTTGTAGAATACAAAGGTTGTGTTTGTAAATGTCATTTTTTAAGCGTTTTGTGAATGCTGTTGAGCTGTGAACGGATTTTATCTGTCGAATGTTTTTAAAGAGATAATCACCCAAAACTGAAAATGTCCTCACACTCAAGTGGTTCTAAACTTTCTTCTATTGAACACAAAACAAGATATTCTGATGAACGCTGGAAAAAATGCAGCCATTGACCTCCATGGTCGAAAAAACAAAATGCTATGGAAGTCACTGGCTGTTTTTTTTCCAACATTCTTCAGTATATTTTTCTTTATTTTCAACAGAAGTATTAGACTTTTTTTGGCAAACTGTCCCTTTAATGGATGTCTTTTCATGGTAGTCTTTAGGTCACATGGCCTGAGGTTTAACACGGAGTGCATCTTGTACATGTTTCCACTGGTTGTCTTTTAACATGCAAAATCTGTCTTGCCAGTACTGACACAAGTCATAAAGGTTTCCACGGGCAACGGCAGCACCAGGGCTCTGTTGCAACAGAAATAGACTGTAGAAACTGTGCCTTAAGATAATGATTTACTATAGCTTTTTTTATTGCAGGGAAACTATTCAGCGTGCACTGATAAACATGGATAGTTTTGATGTGTTTGAAGAAATCCGGTCCTACAAAGATTTCAGTGGCTGGATTTGAAAAGAGCACTCAAAATATTTTCATTTATTTTGCCTCTATGTTTGGGAAGTCTATTTGACTGTTGCGTTTAAAGGTTGAGCATTTATAGTCTGCTGCAGGAAGCCACGTCAACATTGACTACATTTCCTTAGGGCAGAAGTAATAACAAACTTTTTTTGGAAAGTGAGCAGTTGGAGTAGGCTTGGCATTATTTTTACATACTTGGATCGGTCTTTTGTTTTGATTGGATAATGTATTAACAAATATAGCAGTGTACGATTGACAGAGGTTAATGTTTGACCAATAATGTTTGCCTTATTTCTAATCTTTTTATTGCAAGTTGTTTGATATCATCACTTGGTATGAGAGTTTGGTATATAAAAAATATGTATGATGATAGTTTAGTCTAGGATAATAACATTTCATGTCTTGTTGTCTTAAGAAAGGGATCTTCATGAAGAGATTCAGTTGCCCACTTGTTGAGCATTCCCCGGGAGGCTGTGCCCTTTAAAGGGTGCGAAAATGCAATTTTGGAATTTACCTGAAATGAGCCATACCAAATATTTGAGACGGGTAAAGACCTAAAGTTAAACTGTTTTACCAAAAAAATGAGCATTTACGCCCTAAATTGGTTCCAAACCTTTGTTTTTTTTCTGTTGAACACAAAAGAGGATATTTTAAAGAAAGCTTAAAAAAACCTATCCATGGGTTCCATGTGCTGCCGCCGCCATTTTTTTGTGACCAAACGGGATCAGAGAGCTTAGGATGACCAAGAGGCAACACCCAATGGAACGTTCCATTGCAACAGCCCCAGATTCCTCCATTTTGGAGTGAAAGCGATCAGCTGTATGTTATTGGTGTCATGATGGCAAGCAGCTGCTTTATTTTTTATTTATTTATTTATTTATTTAAAAAGCGCATTAAAGCTGAAATACAACCTGAAAGACGACAATACAACACTTACTATCACAATCAACAGCACTTTTAATAGTTTATTTTACAGACTTATAATATGATTTTGTTCTATTGGAATTTTCATTCTAAAATGGCCGCCGTGCCATATAGTGGCTGTTTCCCAAATCGCACTAGTGTCGCCTCTTGGTGATTTTATGCTCTTTGACGGTACTATTAAATTTATGATTTGTGTCAGAATGCACACCTAACATAGTAGGCTACATAATATGGTAAATAATATACATATGTATGTCTGTTTATTACTGGATATTGGCATGATAGCGCTTGTAGATTGTCAAAGCAACTTAACATAGAAGATTATAGTGAATTTAAACTGTGTCAGTCCAGTTTTCAGTGTTGAAGTTCAGTTTAGTTCAGTTCAGTGTGGTTTTAGTTTCACTGCTGAAAGTTCAAACACAGAAGAGCAAATCTATCAACGCGCAGCTCAACAAGTCTCAACCAAGCGAGCCAGTGGTAAGAAACAAACTTCACCAATTGATGAAAATGAAGGAAAAAAAAAAACCTTGAGAGAAACTAGGCTCACTTGGACAAGAACATTTTTCCTCTGTCCAAACTTTTTGTGCAGAGCTGCATTAGTGATAACCTTTACTGTAAAAGCCCTGAGAGCTTCACTGCTGATTGGATTGGGGTTGTTGGGGTTATTACTAGACTCTATGGTTCGGCAGATCAAAAGAATGTATTTGCTTTAAATACTATTGTTTTTGGGGGAGTTTACTGATCCCTAGTATTAGGCTGCATCTCATAACGTTCTTGGTCATGGCAAACTGTAGTGAAGCCGTGAATAAATGTACAGAAAAGAAAGTAGAGACAGACAGGTCAAAGATTTAAAGGAACAAAACCCCATCATCAGACCCATCATAACCAGTATTTGTTTATTCCTTAGCAAAATATCGATTTCATTTAGCCTCATTCATATGCATTGTGGTTTTGAGTTTGACCATATGGGACACAAATATGGTGGCGAGTGTAGTGGAAGTGACATTGTTGGTCCCCATGAATAACTGTTGACTTCCATAGTAGGAAAAAACAAATACAGAAGTCAATGGTTACAGATTTCCAGCTTTCTTCTAAAAAATATTTTGTGTTCAACAGAAAAAAAGCATGTGTAACACAAGTAAAAGGTGGGTAGATGATGACGGACTTTTCATTTTTGAGTGAACTATCCCTTTAAATGTGGCTTGGAACTACTTGCGCAGTCCAAACTTTTTGCATAATTAAAATGCTTTTCAGTCTTGCAGGTGTGAACTTTCTGATATTTTCAGTCCATCGTTTGCAGCAGTCGAGTGAGTCATTGTCTTGGACTGTGTGTCTGTTTTCAGGTCCCAGAAGAAATGCAGGATAAGGAGTTTGCTGCTATTCTGCAGGATGAGCCTCAGCAGCCTCTGGCACTGTTGCCTCTCACCGAAGAGGAGCAGGTGAGAGACACACACTTACACCTCTGGCATTCTGAGCTGATTACACATTCATATAACACACTGTCCTGTGAAAGTAGGCTGAGGTGGGGCTGCCCACACTCTCTTATAAAAAAAATAAGTCTTTAACGCAAGTCATTTTTATCTGCGCCGATCTTGTGGTTTTTGGTGTGGTCCTGTTTTCATTCCACGTGTTGTTGTTGTGTTTTGCTTCGCAGAGGAACTTCTCCATGTCTGTCAACAGTGTGGCTGTGCTGAGGCTTATGGGTAAAGGGGGCGGGGCCGTCCCAGCTGGGGTGAACAGAGGCAGAGGCAGTGTGAGAGGCGGCAGAGGCAAGTTGATCTATTTTTGTGTACGTGTTTAAATTATTCATGTATTGGCAGAGATGCTGAAGTTCTTCACGCCGTGTGTTTAGGTCGAGGAAGAGGGGAGAGCGGATTCTACCAAAGAAGCACAGAGGAAGGAGAAGGCGGTTTCGCTCGTAGCGTTAGAGAGATCCATCGCAGCCAGAGCTGGGATGACCGGTATTTTTTTTTTTCATTTAGTTTCATTTGGTTATTGCAGTTTGTTGCCTTTGCTCTCTGGTTGAGAAATAAAAGTTATTTTAACAGGGTTCCCATGGGTCATAAAATGTTAAAGGTGCTGTATGTGAGTTTTTTGACTCTTCTAAAGCATTAAAATACGGTAATATGTTTGCAGTTATTTAAGAAACATGCCAGTAGAATGTTATTGTTCATCTGAAAAGCAATACTGAAGTCAGATATTCTGTTTTGAAAATGCATTACGTGCCAGAACGTCTGTCTTTGTTTTGGTCATTTTACCCGCCCAATGATAGTTTAGCCAATTATAATTCAGCCCCCCGACTTGCCTTGTTGGAAAAAAGTGTATTTCATTCATTCATTCAGTCAAAAAGGCTCTAAAATCATGTGTCTGTGACTGAAATTCGACCTCTGGTGGACAATAGCAGACTCCAAAATGAGACGCAGATTCATAGTTCCACTTGAGGTGGTTATTAATAAGCAAATAATAAAAATATCATAAACATTAGGTGAGCGGGTTACCTTGTTACCCCGTGTCCTAACAACACTCCTACATGGTGAAATTTGCATTGATAAGCAATTTGGCTGTATGCACCAGACAAAACACGACATAAATTTAAATACAGTCATTCAGAAAGCGCAGAATAGTGCACTTACTGCACTCCAACGAAATGGTCGGGTTTATAATCTAATTAATGCATATTAATCCTCTTTAACATTAATAAATTTAGATGCTGAATCACTGATGTGTGTTGGCTTGCAGTTCAAACGGTTTATTTTATTTTCAAGATCTGATGTAATCTATCTGTTGGTGCTTTCAGTAGTATGGCAATAAATGTCATGTAAAATGACATTCAAACTCACATTAGCATTTAACACTGAATAAAGCACATGACGTGTACCTGAGGTGGTCATTGTCAATTTTCTGTTGTCCAGCTGCAAGAAATAGAAGCCGTTTCTAGTATATAAATTTCAGGTTAGTATAAAAACTCCTTTCAATATGGAAAATATTACTTCTATCACGTGCCGTTGCTTTTATATAGAACACGTTTTAAATCAGCCTTATGGCTTGATAGTCAGGCTCGCTCCTGTTGGGGTTGCAATCTGGCAATCTGCTTTTCGGTGTTTTGAGCCAGCTGTGTAATACCTAGTTCAACCACTGGGTGTCAAACTTGCATACCGCACCTTTAAGAAGTTTATTCCAGATGTTGAAAGTCAAGGAATTTTTAAATATATACAATTTTGGGGTCCAAGTCATGGAATACTGTGGATTTTTGTTTGTCGCTTTAATTATAAATTTCATTTATACATATGTAAAAAATAGTATTTCAATATTGTATATTTTTATGCCAAAGTGGTTATGGTTAGACAACTTTTCTGCTTGATTTTAATTTCTTTCATGCTTGTCTTCTGGCGGTCACTTTAGTCAAATACAGTCACAAGACCTGCTCATTAAGTCAAATGCAGTACCTGCTCATTAAGACTAACATGATGAGGTAATATACATTTTAGGAGCTTTTGCTTCAAAATGGCGACTCCAAAGACTGGGTGTTAAAGTAGATAACAGAAAGACTAATTGTAAATTTTGTAAATCTACTATACAGCTATCAGCTATAGGAGAGGGAGCTCTTTAAAGCCAAAGTACCAAAATTCTTTTTTAAGTTTGAGGTAAATTATCCATTGTTGTTCTCATAGTGAATTTTAAAGTCCTACAAACTATTCAACCTAAAACCATTTTAAAAATCATGCAAAAATTCTGCTTTTTAGTCAGGGATAAATCAGGGAATTTGATATTCGTTTTGGAGTGGGAACCCTGGTTTAATCTGATCAGCATAAGCCTAGAGTTAGTTGTTGAGACAAAACAAAAGCCATCTTGATAAGCTTCTGTTTTCTTTCTACAGAAGTGAACGGCGTTTTGAGAAGCCCCTGCGGAGGGACGGAGTGCGTGTTGGTTTTGAGGAAGGGGCTCCAGGTGTCAGAAAGGAGTTCATGCGCTCTGATAGTGACAACTGGCGCACACTGAGAGAAGAACAGGAGGAGGAAGATGCAGGAGAGACCGCTGGCAGCAGCTGGAGACTTACTGTTGCAAAAAGAGATGGTAATGCAATACACATTTTACATTCATATGCAGGAAATCCTGTAAATTTTGCACCAATTGCTTGATTTTTGGGTTAAATTCAGCGATGGTGAAGTCACAGAATTGCCTGTATTTTGTTCATTATAAATAATGAAAATTTTGCATTTTAGTCAGTGAATTTTACATTTGGCGTTTTATATTAAAGTGATATGAAATTTTTAAGATAATTTTTTTTTTACCTTAAATGCAGGTTAACTTATCATCAGAGACTCCGAAAGCAAAATTAGGCTATTTAAACTAGCATCAAAATTTTATTTATTTAATTTATTATTGTTATTATTAAATCTCCTTTTTAGATGGTGGTCCTCGCTCGGCTGGCTGGCGGGAACATACCGGTCCTGGTGAAGTTCGTCGCAGGAAGTTTGACTTCGACTTCCGGGACGGAGGGAACGAGGGAGGACGAAGAAGAGCAGGCAGTGAAGGAGCAGAGGACGACAGAGATGGTCTGCCAGAGTGGTGCACAGACGAGGAAGATGGAGAAATGGGAACTTTTGATTCTTCTGGAGCCTTCATGTCTATTAAGGTGGGACTGTAAGATCTAGTTTCTTTCTTATGGCTGATCTATGGTTTTTCTTTTCTTTATATAATTTTTAAATTCTTCCTAGAAGGGCCCGAAAGACCCCATTCTAGAGGAGGAGTTCCAGGGGTTGGAGGATGAGGAAGATGAAGGTGCTCATCAAGAGATGAAGAATGGCATGGGTGCTGAAAAAACTGAGAAAGGTTGGAAAAGCAATTGAATGATTAGATAGTTAACCCAAAAATGAATATATTTATCTTGTCGATCTCCGGTTGAGCAACATGTAGGTGACTTTTTATTCACTGCAATATGTATATATAATATATAAGAGCCCTTATGATGTGAATTGGTTTCAATTATTTATACATTATTTAGAACCATATTATTATTAAAGTAAATATAAGTTATTAGGGGTGTGATGAGACGCTTACTCCACGAGACGAGACAGGAGATTGGGGTCACAAGAATGAGACGAGATTTTTACACTATTTTTAAGAAATCTTCAATGATGAAGTTTATAAAAGTCTTTTTATATATAATTTTAAATATTAGCAAAATATTTACTGATATATGAATGGACTGCAAAATAGGGCTGCAACTAACGATTATTTTAATAATTGATTAATCTGTTGATTGCTTGTTCGATTAATCGATGAATCGGATTAAAAAAAACATTAATTTCCAACCGTTTATTAAAAAAAGTTCATCCCTGAGCTGTTGTAGTAGTAATAATAATAATAATAATAATAAACTAAGTAGTTTTGTCCTGTTTTCAATCCAAATATTGAAATATTTTTAAATCAAGATACATACTAGACACATGAAATAGCACAAGAAATTATGTCTTGTTTTCTGGGAAAAAAACATCTCAAAATTAAGTGATTGTTTGCTTAAAACAAGTTAAATTATTTGTGAACTGGGTAAGAAAAATAATCTTAATGAGATATAATCTCAAACAGAAAGTTTTACCAGTTCACATAAATGTGTAAGTGATCGTGATCTATAACATGAGATTGGCATCATCATGTTTACTTGGGGCCGCACGTTTTCCTCATTAATAAAAAGCAGAACACGCAGGATTCAGCACTTAAATTCACCAGTTACTCGCCAAATACATGCAAGTAAGTGGCTGGTAAACTTGGAGAAGAGTAGATTTAACTTTATAGTTACTTTATGTGTAATGTGTATCTGATATGAATAAAATGCTTCGGCAAATTATATTTGATTGGATTGTTAGATTTCCTTGTGTGTTTTACGAACTCTAAATGTATTGTTTTACTAGTACTTGTGTGTATTTACATGTCTAAAACATAAATTAAGCATTAAATTTAAGCAATAAAAAAAAACTGTGCATAACTGTGATAATATGACACGCCTTTCTCAGCGGGGTAAGTTGGTTTTGTTTTCGGAAAAAAAAAATATATAAAAAAGGAGCACTTTTCCGACGGTCCCTTACTGAGAGCTCTGCTCAACTCGAGCTCTCTTTGGCTCTGCGCCAGACATCGCACCAAAGCTCAGATTTTTTCAGTTGCCGCTCTAAAAGTAAACGAGCTAACGCTAAATTGTCATGCTTGTCAAGCTGGACAACGAGTAAAGTAGCATTTGTTGCTGATCATCGTTATCATCATCATTTTTTGCATTGGTTTTATGGCTGTCTCTCTCGCTCTCTTTCTCTCGATAGATGTCATCGACTCTGCTGCTGTCTCTGAAACTGAAGTGAAACTGGTTTCTCCTTCAACTCCTCCTCCTCCTTCTCTTCCTCCCTCTCTTCCTGCTCCCATCTCCGAGGCTGTGCCCTCTGCAGCCCCCTCTGGCCTGGAGGAGTCTCCACCTGCCCCCTCCATTCCCCACAAACTACCAAGTGAAGGTAAAAAGGATTTTTTTTTTAATCATCTCCTACAATTGAATAGATGATTTGTGCTTTAATTATGCATGTTTTGTGTGTGTGTAGTGTTATCAGAGGCCATGTTAGATTTGAGCCCCAGTGCCTCCTCCAGTCTGCCTTCATCGCCTCCCTCTTTGTCCTCTGCTGCTACTGACCTCCCGCCACCGGGGGGTGATATTGAGGACGACGAGGGCATGAAGCACCTGCAACAGGTACTAGAAAACAGATGGGATAATATCTGACTAAAATTCATAAAGGGTCTAAAAAGTTAAGGTTATTGATGTAATATCAATTGAATGTTAAAGATGATGTATGTAAGATTGACACCCAGTGGTTGAACTCGGTATTGCACTCCAAATTCAAAACACTTCTTCACATGGTCGCTCCTCAGACAACTCCATACAGTTGCCAGATTTATGACACCAACAGGAATGAGCGTGCCTGACTATTAAGCCCACACCGTGACTACTAGCAACGACACGCAATAGTAGTATTTTGTATGTTAAAAGGTCAAAACCATCGCCTGAAAATTCCATTTTAGAAATGGTTTTTATTTCTCGTAGCTGAAAACATCATTTGACAATGATCACCTCAGGTTCATGTGCTTCATTCAGTTTTAAATGCCAGAAATGCTAGTTTGAATACAGTTTTACATGACAGTTATAGCCATACTGAAAGCAGCAGCAGATAGATTATCTCAGATCTTAAAACTAAACATTTAGTTTGTTAAACTTTAGTTTTTTATATAGTTAAATGTATCTTTAGAGCTGTGCCTCAGTGCAAACCAACAAATACCAGTCACTCAGCATGTGCTTCTAGTAATGTTAAAGAGGTTTAATATGTTATGATTTGATTCTATTGCTTACCATTTTGTTGAATTACAGAGCACTATTCTGTACTTCTGAATGGTTTTATTTAAATGTTTCTGTCATGTTGCTTCTGGTACAGACAGCCAAATTGCTTTTCACTGCAAATTGTGTCGTTTTGCACATTGTTAGGAAATGGTGTTAATAGGTAACCTACTCAGCTAATGTTTACATTTCATTCATTCATTTTCCCTTGGCTAAGTCTCTGATTTGACAGGGGTTGCCACAGTGGAATGAATCACCATGTTTACATTTGTGACAATCACTTCATGTAAATTTTTAGAACTCTAAATCCACATCTTGTTTCAGAGGCTGTGGTTTTGGATGCATATACATTAAAACAGTCTTTATGACTTGAAATGAAAGATGTTGTCTTTTCCACCAAGGCAACCTGGGCTGCTGATATATAATTGGCTCAACTGACAGTTGGCAGGATTAAGAGACCAAAACAAAGACGGACATTCCGACAAGGAATGCACATTTAGCTGACTTTAGTATTGTTTTTCAGATATAAAAAAATGTGTTCACTTGGCATGTTTTTTTTTACATATCTGCAAACTTATTATGGTATATTTAGTGCTTTAAAATGAGTCAAAAGCTTACAGCACCTTTTATAACAACATGGGCCAACAGTATGCACTAGCTTGGTTGAGCTAAATTGCTAACCCGCTCAAATGTGAAATGATTATCAATCACAGAGGTTGTGCAATTTTTTTGTATTTAAGATCTATTAAAATTCGAGAGTGGGAGCATTGAAAAACTTAGTGCTGGAAAATTTTGAGCACATAATTAAATATATTGATCATTTTTATTTATATACTTTTGGTTCTAAATTAACTTAATCAACTAAGAAATCAACTAAATTGACAATTAATACTAAATTAAATAGAGTGTGTTTTTTCAATAGTAAGTTTATAAGGTTTTTTTGTGCTAGGCACCTGGAGAAACATGAAAAAAAATTGTTACAAAACTGGATTTGCATTATCAATATGCCAAATTCACTAAATAAAAAATACCAAATTTCATGCTAACTCTTTATATAAATGTTCTGACCTCTTTTATAAACCTAGAACAATCTAAATACTATTATTATATATTTTGTGTTTGAAACCTTATAAAGGTTGAAATACCATTATAAATGCTGCAAAAAGCTATATAGAATAAGTCCCAAAAATGTCACTGTTTATAATGCACATTATTTTTTTTCCCATCCGTTCAGAGTTTGTGATGTTGCTTTTATCTGTGCAGGAGGCAGAAAAGATGGTGGCGGCGCTCCAGGACACATCTCTAGAAGAAGAGTGCTTCACCCAGACTCTTCAGGAGAGCAGAAACACGGCCTCTGCTCTTCCTCTCTCCCACGACTCGGCTATGAAATGGTTTTACAAAGACCCGCAAGGAGAGATCCAGGGTGCGCATGCATACTCTCACAGGAGATCCAGCTCATGCATATGAAGCAGAGCTTTCCGTTAATGCCTTCTCTTTGTCTGCCCTGTCTCTCAGGTCCTTTCAGTACAGTGGAGATGTGCGAGTGGTTTCAGGCAGGGTACTTCGCCATGAACCTGCTGGTGAAGCGCGGTTGTGATGAGGGATTTCAGCCGCTGGGGGAAGTCATTAAGATGTGGGGGCGCGTGCCTTTCGCCCCCGGACCCTCCCCTCCGCCGCTGCTGGTGAGGAATCAAGCCCAGCTTCACCCTCAACCACCCCGCGGGGCAACCGTGAGTCTCTGGGTGGAAGGGTGAATGTTGGGGCAGCCAGTTTTGTGGGCTTTGTTGACGTTTGTTCTGTCATTGTTTTGTTTTGGTTTCTGCTGGGAATAAGCTTGCTTGTTTTGTTCTTTTTGCATCTATGTATATTTGCATTTGTTTGTTTGTAGATTTGCATATGCCTTTATGTGTGCAGGGTGTTTTTGGGTCCTTAAAGTATTAAAGGGATAGTTCACCCAAAAATGAAAATTTGGCATTTATTTACTCTTTACATGTTTCAGACCTTTACTATTTTATTTCTTATGTTGAACACATAAGATGATATATATTTTTTAAAATATGTTGGAAACCTGTAACTATTGACTTCTATAGTATTTGTTTTTCTTACTATGAAATTACTATGGTTAACTGCTTTCCTCATAATAGCAGAAAAAAATTGTTCAGCAGAAGAAAGAAATTTATAAAGGTTTGGAAGCACTTGAGAGTAAATAATACCTTACCTTTCCATTTTTGGGTGCACTATGCCTTTAAAATCTCAAATTTAAAACTATAAATAGTTTGTCAAAGTATTAAAAGTCCTACATTTGAAGTGATTATATTCTACTTTTACCTTATTTTAAAGACTTTATAAATTAACATTTGAAATCAAAGAAATTCGGATAGCTATTTATAGATAGTCATTTTACAGTTGCCCTTTTTTCAAAAAGTGTAATTATTACTGCTTATTAGTTATGTATTGTATAATCTGTAGAATACACATTAGGTTAATCGGAATATATATAATTATTATTTAAGTTATTGACTTGTACACCCCCCTGCATAAACTTTATTTAAATGTATTATTTCTACAATTGATATTTCATAATTATGTAATGTGATAAAAAAAATATTTGTGATATGATTAAGTGCAAAAACAAAGATAAATATTAAGAACATTATATGAAGAGTTCAGATGCAAAAGTCGCTAAACGCCACTTCTGCCAACAATGAGATAATGACATTGAGCAAACGCTTTAGGCACATAGTACATGTTCAACACATATTTTTGCTTTAAACTACCTAAATCACAACGTCAGCACATTCAGAAATAACCTTAATCCTCTAAACAGCACTTGCCTTTTAAAAGCAAAAGCCACTATTCTGAGAACAAATCAGAAGTCGCGTATCGAATCATATGTTTTAATGTAACGGCACAATGATACGCCAGCTTTTATGAGAAGACTGTTTTATTCCACTTTTGGAATCAAATTCAATTTTTTTAGATTTTATAAGATAGAGCTCAATGTATTGGATGAGCCTGTCCCACTGTCACTGAATGGCAGATGAAAACGTCCCTTAAACCTGCATTATAAGAAAAAGAAAGCACACTGTATAGTCGGAAGTGTAGCATATTTTGCTAATTTAAGCTATTGTTAAAAAGATAAATATAATGTATAAAACTAAGCATTATTTATATTACTTCATTATAACTCTAGATCTGATAAGCTTTTTATATTGATGGACAATGCACATATATTGACGTTTCACAGTATTTTTACACTACATTATTTGAATTTGCCAAGCTTCGTTTCCAATGTTTACATTGCTCTAATTAAATGAAATCTAAATCCCAAATACCAGAAATGACAACAGATAGTTAAGATTTAATTAATGACCACTAATTTTATGTTCCTGATTAATGCACTTACTTGTCAGATTTCATTCATATTCCTTCTGCTTAGTCCCTGGTTTATCAGGGGTTACCACAGCGGAAAGAACTGCCATTTACTTGACAGATTTATGCATTTCTTATTTTAGGTGATTTATGTTTGATAAAATAATTTATAATTGCATCTTTGGTGATTTTTCAGCTAATTACACTGTCTTGTCACAATAGGTGGATTTAGCTGAAGTGAAAAAAAGATTTGGCTGCTTTTGACACATAAGACAATTTACCTTGTTAAAAACCAAAGAATTGTCTAAAGTGACATTTATGAAAGAAGTTATTTTATTCACTAGCTAATAAGCTTATTATCATAAAATGAAACTTCTGAACCTAATTATAGGAGCCTGATAGAAAATGCTTATTTACAAAAAAAAAAAAAAAAGGTTTGATGGATTTAGAGGGTTTTGCATCTGAACTGTTCATACATAATAAATTATACTTAGTCAAAAATGTCTTTTGGTCATCTTTTGTATTGGTTTCTGCTGGGAATAAGCTTGTTTGGTTTTTGTATGTTTGCATTTGTTTGTAAATTTGCATATTCATTTGTGTGTGCAGGGTGATTCTGTGTCCTTAAAGTTATTAACTTGTACAAATCTCGACATAAGCTCAATATAAAATGAATATGATTCTACTTTATATTTTAAAATGATATACTGTGATGAGTATTTTTCTATAATTAAATGCAAAAAAATATTAGGATAAATAAATAATTTATAGATAACAAAATTTATTCTAATAATAAAATAAATTGTGTTGTTTCATGTAATCAATGTATTAGTTGACAAATCTGACATTATTGCAAATTGTAAGTAGTAGTATTAAATAAATAAATTATAGGCTTTAGAATATTTATTAAAATAGTAACAGTGCATCACTGTACTGTATCACGTACTATATCACTGTATTCACTCTGGATCTGTCACCTTTTCACCACTGATGAATTTGCATCTCTGTAGAATTGAAAATACACAGTATAGTTGACATTTGTTGGTCTTAAATGATTTTTCTAATTTATATTCAAGTCTTGATGTCTAAAATGTAACTTCTCTAAATGGCCAGATTGCCATTGTATGTGTGATTTATTAGAGTCTTTGTGTCTGGGTGATTGTGTGTTATTGATCTCTGCTCGTCTTTCAGGGTAATATGGATCAGGAGCGGCTGAAGAAGCAGCAGGAATTGGCTGCTGCCACGGCTCTTTACCAGCAACTCCAACAGCAGCAGCAGCAACAGCAGCTGTTCCAGCTCATCAACAGGTGAGCACGCTTGTGTGTTTCTGACATTTTAGTCAATACAGTTTGAATATTTAATACTAGGGATGGACAATATAGACTTAAAAATAAATCAAAATATTTTCTGGCATTTATTGCTTAAACGGAATCAGTGACAGTCATTCATATGCATCAACAAAGAGGTCAATTAAAAAGCTCTGTGCAATGTAATATGATATTTGTTAGGGATGTAACGGTATCAGAATGTCACGGTACGGTATTTATTGAATCATTTACAGGAAAAAAAAAAACTTTTGAAAATACTCCAAAAAAGTGCCAAAAGTGTCAATGACATACAAATTACAAACAGGAACTTCAATTTTAATAACAAAAAATTATTAAACCATGTAAAAAAATAAAGTTTCAATTTAGTATTGTTAAAAACTCATCACATTTAACATTTAATCACTCACTTAGATAGAAATGGGTTTAAAGGAAAATTATCATATAAATATAATCTGGTAAAAGCTGGTATCTCTGGGTATTTACAATGTCCCCTGCAACAGAAAAAACCCCTCTCATTTGGGACTGAGGTTTCTGGGACAAGAGAGATATGACTTGGCCCATGTTGACAGCAGTGGGTAACGTTGTGCATTGTCTTTCCCCCACTTGAGAAGACAAACCATGAGTGAGATAGAGATCTCTTTGCGGTACAAGTCAATGTCTGCATCAATCTGAACAGTGTGCTGTGTTTCTGCAGTCCCCATGACTGTTATTAGTCGTATTCCCCAACTTGCAGGCACGTGCACACATAGGGCTCAACCTGTGCAGTGCACATGCCCTTTTTAGTCTTGGATAGAAAATGCCCTTCCAAAACGATCAAAAGTGCCCCCGCGACGCGACACAACCTCCGTCCAGTCCAGCCCTTCAGTAGGCGCGCGACAACACCTCTCTTGAGTATGCGCGCTCAACCCCCCCTCGGCGCTTTACAATACGCGCGCCACAACACAGCTGATCAGAACGCGCGCAACAGCACCGCTATTCAGCACGCGCGCGGCGACAACACCCGCTTTAGGTTCGATCATTTCCATCTTTTTTTCATCTCCGCTACTAGCAGCACACTCCATTTCCGCATTACTGGATCTGTAGCGACAACAGACCGCAAAGGATTATGGCCACGCCGGGGCTGATGGGAAATGAAGTTTCAGCTACCTCCCGTTCGCTTCATTCGCCTGAGCAAATTTTCTCAGAAGACCTATAGTTTTACCGAGTCATGCGACTTCGGTAATATCGAAAAAATTTAATATTGCGGTATGACGGTATTTACTATACCGTTACATCCCTAATATTTGTTTAACACACTTGATGTAGAGTAGATCTCTTTTCAGAACTCAGAGATTCAAAACCATATAGCACACACAAGGGCTGTGATAATGAAGTATGGTTAAAAAAATGTGATGTTCAATATGCAATGCACTATTTTTAAAAGTGATATAACCAACACATTTCAAATTATTTAAGGGACAAGAAAGCATTAATAAAATTCCTGAAAGTGAACAGCCATGTTTTACTGTTGCATGAAACAATTTAGATGTTATTTAACAATTTAAACAAACTCAAATAAATATCGCCACCTCTTTTATCCACTGGTATAGTTTTATTAACCTGAAAACATCAAGTAAAAAACAGGAAAACAAAAAGACAGAGTTGAGTTACTTCTGTATGGCCTCATTGCTTTGCGACCATGAATCCCCCCTCTTTCGCTTCAAGTCTACCTCTGAATTTTTTCAACAAATGCTCCAAGATGGGTGTGGAGCTCTGCGGGCAGAGTGAGAAATCAGCGTGGCTGGCAGAGCAGGGGAGAAAGAGGGGAGCAAACAACTGTTGTCATTTGGCTCACAAAATGAGACGCAAGCCGTGAGGAGACACATGATTTTATTGTGTACAAAGTTAAAATGCAAAATAATAAACAGCAAGTAATTTAGTGTCCTGCAACATACGTTATTCATAATTTCAAAACACAAACATTATTTATTATATCAATATAAAGATAATCGTGTTTATATAAACATTTTAAATGCGGAGGGCTTCTCTCCTCCTCAATCCCTGGCTCTTAATGCAGACACAATGGATAGCAGTGCAGCAGGTCTTATGCCCTGTCTATTCCAACCGTTAACCCTGCCGATAATTTGGAGGATATTAAACATAAATGAACACAGCAGCATAGAAATATATTGATGTGTCTGAATGGTAACAAACTCAGCTGATAAAAGACAAAGTTTGCCATTCTTAAATTCTCGTAGAACTCTCTTAACAAAAATGCTTGCTGCACACAAACAGCTTTGCTGTATCAGTCCTGACAGAATTGCGGGGAAAAACATGCAACAAACCCTTTGGTTAATGTAAACAAACACATATGACCCATGCCAAGCACCGTCTCCCCCAGTCATTGGGTCTTACAGCTTGGCAGGTCTGCCTTGCCTTTTGAAAGCATGTGCTCTCATGAATAATTAAGAAGCCGTGTCTCCTCACAGAATAAGAAAATTTCGCTCTGAATAATAATGAAAAACCAACACGTCATTACTCCACTGGCAGATTCACACTCCCTCACCAATTTCGATCCCGTCCCAAACATGATTTTTAACCCGAAAGATGAAATTAGCTGACAAAAGCTCTAAATTATCCAGTTTTCCCTACAATTAAAGCTGACAGGTGCTAACGTAGTCTTAACTGATGCTCAACAAACACAAATCTGTTAAGTAAAAAAAAAAAGTACTCCAGGGTGTCTTGAACCGTTGCCAAGTCTTCATTGCTTGGTCCGTATTTCAACATCCATACTAAAATCAGTAAGGATTGGATTTTTTTTTATACAGGAAACCAGCATGTCTACTTGCTTGATTGTGTTGACGTAACTACACTGCCTGATGTGCTGAAAAGCACACAAAGAGCATTTAGCATTAAATCACAATTTCACATTTATCACTAACTGTTGTGATGTGTATGTTTGAGGTGTGAGCATTTGCAATATTTCAGTCCTTTCAGGTATATTGCACAGCCCTAGCACATGTTAATGTAGTACATTTATTGCAAGCAGAATAGTTGCTGGTGTGTTGCATATATTAAGATATCACCCATTCCTATTTAAATTTAATTTTTATTTTATTATATTTTTGTTTTTGTTCTCCGTGTAGGTGTGGAGAGCAGGGTATGATACCTTCGTTAAACAGGTCGATGTCAGTGCCAGATACAGGGTCCATGTGGGACATGCATACCTCAGCTTCACAGCCAGCAGGTACACACACACACACACACACACACACGCAGACTTGTCTCTATATCCCGGTGGGGTCTCTCATCAAACTTGATATATTCTATCCCTCTACCCCTAAACTCAACCCCTTATAGGAAACACACTTTTACATTTTCAAAATACTTCATTCCATGCGATTTACAAGCATGTTTACACATGGGGACCTCAATTTTGGTTATGCAAGTGCCTGTGTGTCTATGTGCATTCAGGTTTAAGTCCCCACCAGGATATAAAAACAAGTACATGCGCACAAATCTGAAAATAGACATGCTGTCTCTAACCCTCTGTCTCTCTCTCTCTCTCTCTCTCTCTCTCTCTCTCTCTCTCTCTTGCTGGAGCAGGCGGTGAGGCCAGTATATGGGACTTAATGAATTCTTCATCTCAGGGTCCAATTCTAGAACAGCTTCAGAAGGTGAGGCTTTCACTGGTGGCCTCTGCTGGACATCTGAGGAAATGCACTGAACTCACAGCCCGCACACACTGCCATTCTCAATGCATCGAGTTGTGTTGTGTGTTTCAGCTACAAGAGAGAAGAGAAGCTGAACTCAGGGCCAAGCGCGAGGAAGAGGAGAGAAAACGGAGGGATGAAAAAAGGCGAGAGGAGCAGAAAAGGAGAGAAGAAGAGGAGCATTACAGGCGCAAGCAGGTGTGCAGCATTCTCATGCTTTAAAAAGCATCTCATACACACTGCCTTCAAACCATTTCAACTATTTTAAGTAAACGGGTATATGCAGAGCTAGTGTTTCTTCCCATACTGATAAACTTCCGGTTAATGTGACTGTTTTTCATTGTATATGGTTCCTTTTACAGCATCGATGTTGTAATGCAAATAAAATATAATCAGTTAAATAGACTTCAGCATTCATTTAGTTACTCAAGTGTGAAACGAGATAAAAAGCTGTTTACCCGCACACACCCATCAGGATCAGCAGGTGAGCGCAGAAGCTTCATTGAATATACTGCGGTTAAATAAATGGTCATATTTTAAAGACATGGCAGGGAAAAATGTAATATAGTGCAGTGCTTCTTGTACATTCTCAGATCCACTTTATATCGGATATCAATCAGGCAGTGAAGATCGTTGATTTTTAAAGAAAACAGACCTTAAACGTGCTGATTTAAGCACTTGTCCCAGGTTACTGACAAATTGAAAGTCCTTTAATTCACACCCTATTGCAGTCACAGCTTTCAGAAGCATTTGCTGAACACCAAGTCATGTACTTTTGCTATGCTTTAAGATATCTACTTTTACATGTTTTTTCAGCCTTTAGGAGAAGAGAAACAAAAGCTTGGCAATTTCATATATAGTATTTTGTCACTGTATAATATACTGTTTAACATTCTGCAAAGGAGGTTTGATAGTATGGGAATTGATTTGCAGCAAATCTTAATATTATTGTCAGCTAAGCTAATCATTAGTTTATAAAATTAAAAGTTATCATACGTGACCCTGGATCACAAAACCAGTCAAATGTTTTTTTAAATATGTTGAATTATATGCCACATCATGAAAGCTGAATAATTAAGCAATTAAGCTGTCATTGTCTTTCATCACACGCAGCTCTCGCACATGAACCGAGATCTTTAAAATAATGATTTCTATAAAAATGTAAAAAGGTTTTGTGATACAAGAATAACAGCGGATCAATAATTAAATGCATATTTTCTGTGGAGTGATCGATTAGAGGTAGCCTGCTATTTTTATTTGACGGAAGACAAAAAACATGTGATTAAAAAAAAAAGCCTATATGCCGGTTCTTACAAAGGATTCAGTCAGTGTTTTCGTTTTGTAATTTGTCATTTAAGTGAAAATATCTTGGGCAGGCCTATTTATATTATTCTTTTGTATGTGTTTTGTGTATTCCTTTTATGTAGTTTATTCTGTTTTTCTATGACGTTAGAAACACTGCAGGTGCCTGAAGATGCTCTGTTATGTTTTGTTGTCAATATGTTCTCATGCTAACATAAATCAGTGTTTTAAAATGCAATATTTAATGTTTCAGACACAAAATAGACGCATCAATTTTTTATTATTATTATTTAAATAATAATTTAATATTAATCTGACCGGTTAACAGTTAATGTTCGATTAAGGAGCGGCGGTTGTCAATTGGCAAAATTAACCGAAATGAGCATCCCTAATAGGAAAATTTACAAAATGTTTTCATAGAACATAATCTTTCTATTCTTAATATTCTCAATATCTTAATATTCTAATTGTTTTTGCCATAAAAGAAAAAATATATATTTTTTGCCCATACTAAGGTAAAAATATATCTGTGCAACATATGTTCAGGGTCACAATCCACATTTACTTTTCCTGTGATTGTATCATCATTCATAATCTGATGCAGACAAAAAGTGTCTTCACAAGGGCTTGTGAAGTGCGTGCTTTGAAAGGTGCATTTTTTTATTCAATATTTCATGCAGTCTTAACCAAAAAATGAAGAGAGGGTGGGACGTAGTGTAGATCCTCCCATTTGATTTATCTCCACTCTGCCAGGGAGAGGATTTGAGCTCTAGTGGATCAAATATAAAGCATCTTGAAGGGGGCGGGACATGTCGGACACTAGAAGAGCATTTGATTGGTCACGATTTGATGTGAAACTGACTAATGAAGTGGCATGAATAAAACCGTTGATCCATTAAGGCGAAAAACTGCAAGCTTTACATGTTTTTTTTTTCAGTCTTTTTGAGCACACTAGCTTAGAGATATCCTAAAAACTAAAACTACCAATTCTAACATCTAAAAAAAACAATATTTTAATTGCATTAAAATCGTGCGAAAATCCTGTCAATGGTTGTTATATTTTTTATAAATATTTTTGTTTTTTTTTTTAAATATTTTTGTAATTGTTTTCTTCATATCTTTTCCCAAGCAACAGGATTTGCTGATGAAGTTGCTCCAGCAGGCTCCCCGTCAGGGCTCCTCTGGCTCCGGGTCAAGCTGGAGTTCAGGACCCATCTCTGGACTGGGAAAGCAGTCTAAGCCCCTCAACCTCCTGGATGTCCAGCAGGAGGCTGACAGAATGCACAAACAACAGCACAGAGTCCAGCAGCAGAGGGTAAGACACACATACATACACACATGCACTGATGTTCAGTCCTGCAAAAAGGAAAAAAACATTTATTATGAATGTCCCGCTCTGCAGTGGAGCGATGCCTCTTCACTGTGGGGCGCAGCTGGATCTTTGGATGGAAAGGTGGGAAGCAGTGGCAGCTCCTCTGGAGGAGGAATGGGCGTCTGGGATGAGGCCCTCAAGAACCAGAGTGCTCTTCGTAACAACATGGGCCTGAAGAACAGCCGCAGCAGCCCTTCGCTCAGGTAAACCCAAAACCACATGCCAAGAGATGACTAGAATAGGGTTTTCAGTGGCTCATGCCAGAGCTGAACGGCTTATGTGTGTGTTTCTTCAGCGAACAGTACATGATGAGGGGCCGTAAACGCACTGAGGAGGAGGATCGGCTGCTGAAGCTCCTGCAGGGGATGAAGTCTCAGGACGGCTTCACCACCTGGTGTGAACAGATGCTGCATGCGCTCAACACCTCCGCCAATAACTCGTCCTCCTCCCAGGATGGTAAGATGTCTCACTTTCAGGGTTTACACGCATCAGGCCTTCTCTCCTTAGGGTTGCTTTGTAATAAAGGGATCTGCCTCTTTTTATTTAATTTTTTTCTCTCAGGAGGATCTTATGATTTTTACATAAACATAACCATTTAGAAGTAATACACTTCATATGAACCCTCTCATGTAAACACACCATTTGAAAAGACATGGCGGATTGTAGACTCTGAAGTTAACACCCACATGTGCGATTGGCTAATAGATTAGTATATTATAGATCAAGGACAGAAAAAGTTTTTGCACAGCGTCTTGTCTTTATTGTTTCTGCTTAGACCATGTTTGCCTCTGTCAGAATGCGCTGAAATGTGTTTTGTGTGTTTGTGTTCTCAGTGCCCATCATTGTGGCATACCTGAAGGATTTGGAGTCCCCGTATGAGGTGTTGAACTTTATCTGCTCCTACCTGGGCGACACTGTCGAAGCCAAAGAATTCGCCAGACAGTTCCTGGAGCGCCGTGCCAAACAGAAAGCTAACCACCAGAGACAGCAGCAGCAGGTGTGTGTGTGTGTGACAGGAAGACGCAAACTCTTTACTGTGTAGTGTTTTCCTACTAGAAATGACTCATTGCTTGCTTTTCCCTTATAGCTCTCCAAAGAGATGGCTGGGCTTAGCATGAACAACTTTCCTCTGCAGGTATGAAAAGAACTCTTCGTTGATTATGATGTAAATTTCCCACCATGAGCCTATTTGTTATTCATCCAGCTTTTTCTGCTTTTCTTATTCTCACACTCAAGGATTCTGTGCGAGGAATGAACCCCAGTGCCCTGCAGTCTATGTTTCAGGCAGTGCATTCTGGGAAGGGCAGTGGTGTCTATGATCAGGCAGCAAAGCTGAAGAAGAAACAGCCCACGATGCTGCACTCTGACCCTAGCATCTTAGGTAATTTTGCTTAATTTCTTGTGTATATGACCATAGTAGTGTGATTCATAAACAAATGACTGCTGTGAGCTGGTTCTTTCTAGTAAATCAAAATCACCATGTAGCATAATCAATATATTCCTTAACAGATGACTCTAATGAACTGGTTTAATTTAGCAGAGCAAACAAATACTGATGTGCATCTGAATATGATTACTTTCGTTCTATGTGATATGAGAATATATAAAAGAATACACTACCTGACAAAAGTCTTATCGCCTATCTAAGTTTTAGGAACAACAAATAATAACTTGAATTCTAGATGATCATTTGGTATCAGTAGTGGCTTATATGAAATGTAAAGGCCTCTAGATGACGCTTATTTTACCCAAAATAAAAATGGTCATACCATGAAAGTCTTGTCACTTAACAGAAATAATGTACAGTATAGAATATAAAGTCATGGTGCAGTGGAAAAAGAATGAATATTGTGTATTACTCCTATGATCTCGGACGACTGCATCCATACATCTCTCCATTGACTCAAATTATTTATTAATATAGTCATCTGGAATGGCAAAGAAATCGTTTTTGCAGGATTCCCAGAGTTCATCAAGATTCTTTGGATTCATATTCAATGCTTCCTCCATCTTAACCCAGACATGCTCAATAATGTTCATTTCTGGTGACTGAGCTGGCCATTCCTGGAGCACCTTGACCTTCTTTGCTTTGAGGAATGTGGAGGCTGAAGTATGAGGAGCGCTATCTGGCTGAAGAATTTGGCCTCTCCTGTGGTTTGTAATGTAATGGCAGGCTGTTGATGTTGCCATTCACTGTGCAGGTCTCTCACACGCCCTCATACTGAATGTAACCCCAAACCATGTTTTTTTCTTCATCAAACTTGACAGATTTTCATGCTGATTCCAATAGGTCTTCTGCAGTATTTGTGATGATTAGGATGCAGTTTAACAGATGATTCATAGGAAAAATCTACATTCTGCCACCTTTCCAAATGATCAGCTAGAAGTCAAGTTATTATTTGTTTCTCTTACAACTGGGATCAACAACAAGACTTTTGCCAGGTAGTGTAGATTAGCCAAGAATCACAGTATGTGCAAATTCAAAGAACAGCAGGCAAAAAGTTTCACCCAAAAGAGGCATTAATGATATAGCAAAATGATACGTGATGTATTTTGAGCTGAAACCTCACAGAAACGGGAAGCTTTTTCTACTTATTGTGCCTGTGTTTTTACATGACTTCAGAAAACTGGTTTTAAAATGGAAGTTTTTGAAAATGCTGTTTTTTGTGTCTGTGTAAATTCCTGAAAAAAGAAATCTTTGAAAGAGATGACATCTTGTGCAAGCATGGTAACTCTTAAGGGGAGTGTAGATTAAATGCAAACGTAACCAAACACACGTAACAATGGCAGAGTATGCGGTAGTGTTATTGCTCAAGAGTTTCATCAGCAAAATGTGGATTTATTTCACATAAGAAGCAAAACTGGAGATGCATCTTAAACACACAAAGAAAATTATACATCAGCACAAGTGCCAAACTTCCAACAGCATGCAGATAGTTTACAGACAAGGTGACAGAGCAAAGTACTAGCTTGCATGTATTTTCTGCTGTTTTTGCAGATATGTGCAAATGCTGATTGTTTTTGGTGCATTGTCATGTAGACTTGACAATTTTTCATAATGCAAGGGAAAAACATTGGCTTTATCATTTCTTGTAAACGTTGCCTTAGCCCATGTTTCTCAAAATAAAATATTTTGGCTGTGTCCGAAATCACCTACTACTCAGTAGGAACTACATTTGAATTTTACTACTCGACCAATAAAAAAAAGTATGTTCTATACAGTATGAATGTGAGTAGTATGAATGAAGTTCGGTCGTACTACATCCGCTATTTTATTATGATCACTTCAAACACCCGCTTCACTCCCATTCATGATTTCTTTCATGGTGCATCATGGGATTAAATAGCATCCGTCAGATGCTCACTTCAGAATCTCGCCAGAAGTAGTAGGTCATTCTCGCATACTGGTAATCGATTTTTATGAATTTGGACATACTACTTGGCTTGCATACTTTTTTTAGCGTTCTATATAGCATGGAAGTTTGCAATTTTGAAGGCAGACATTGTGTCCAAAGCGGAAAAAGTTCTTGTTTTTTACCCAGACATTTAAAAAGAATATATTTCAGAGCATTAATCACAATATCTTGAAACTGTGATATTTGAATCAGAGTTTCATGAAGTTTTGTGCGTTTCTTTTTTTTGTTTGTCAACTTTAACTGCAGTTTGGCACTTTTATTTTTAGTCTGGAACATTTCATGCATGCCCCCTTGACGAATGAGATATTGGAAGCACGTATGAACCCCACAGGGGAAAAAAAGAGCATTTCACGGTGTGTGTGTGTGTGTGTGTCTGTGGTCCTTTACTGACCCGGTGGGTGCAGAGAATAGTGTCAAACAGCCGTGTGTGTATGGAATATCCTGCCACAAAATGCAGTAAAATTTTTACATGACAGTCATATTTTGATTGCAATGTTTACATGTCTGTATTGGACTTCAATAATGTGACTAAAAGTGGCATACTCCACGTCTTAATTCCATTTCTGTTAAGTTCGATTATGACAGAAACAGATTAAATCAAACTAAAATCGCTGTATACATGGCAGACTCTTAATCAGAGTATTGTCGTTATTGAATTATTAATAGAATAAATTGGTCTCCATGTAAACGTACTCGGTATGAGCAGGGCTTTAGGAGCATGATTGGAGCTCTTAAATGATTATCACCAGCCACTGTATTAAAAATGTCTTCGTCTTTCTCTGTCTGTGTTTAGGGTACTCATTCCATGGTGGCCCTGATCGGTATGGTCTGAACGAGATGGAGATGGTGGAGGATTACTGAATCCACAGCAATAGCTACACGAGGCCTTTAATCCCGCGGGTCCACCTAATCAGACTCCGCAAGTCGAATGTGCACTGCTTAGAGGGGGAGGGACTGGGCATAAGCCAGGCGTAAGGTATCAGTTCAGGGGTGGGTGGGTTTTTGCGCTGGGAATAGAAGAATGTAATTCAACAGGGAAGGGAACAGGTGTGAATTTATTTTTGTGTGTATGTGTGTGTGTGTTTGGGGGACGGGGGGTGATAAAGTTCTGGCACTTACAGCATTAAGCACCTTACACTCAGACTAATGCACTTTATTAAGATGTAATTTGAATAGTTTTTTTGTTTCCTTTTTTTTCTTCTCCGAGAAGATTTCTTGTGTATATTTATGTGGTATGGCTTCAGAAATATTACCACATACATATACTGTGTGTGTGTGTGTGTGTGTGTGTGTGTGTGTTGAATCAGAACTGGAGTTTGTACTGGGAGTAAAACGGTGGCGACTGGGGGACCATTGCGTGTTTCAGTTCAGACATTATCAGAAAAACAAATCCTCTCTTTAAAGACAAACACTGTTGTTTTTTTTATATACATAAATATATATATAAAGTTTATATGAAAAAACGTAAAGCTATTATAAAAAACAAAACCTTTGATTATAAAACTTGAAGATTTGCACTCACATAAAATGCAAGTTAAAAATATAAAAAAAAAATGTGTTAGATATGATAGAGATTAATATTTTTGTGATCGTGTGCCTGTGTGTGCGTGAACGCGTCTATACGCGCATGTTTGTTCGAGAAAGACGAGTGTGTGCGTTTAAAAACATACCAGTCTGCACAATGTATTTTTTTTTTAAATCGCTTACTTGGACGTGTGATCAAAAGAGGCCATTTTTGTCATTCTGAGTGAATTGTTTTGTTTTCTTTAAGTATTTTATAAGGCGAGTGTGTGAATGCTTACGTACAGGAGGAACTGTGTGTATTACTCCTCTTGTAAATGTGCAGTATGTGAGCGAATGAATGAATGAATGAAAGAAAGGAAGGCAGAGAGAGAGGGGGGCAACGGCACAACACATCCTCTTTCACCAGCCCTTCATTCCCCAACAAAGAAAGACCTCTAGATTCAAACACAAAAGCTTTAGCCCATTTTTACGCCAACCAGCACTCTTAGTTTTTGTGGCGGGAGGGAGCGCAAGAGATGTCTTTCCCTGCCCTCCGCTGCCTCATCTTTGCCTCTGTGAGGTTTAAGAACATTAGCATCATCGTTTTTGTTTGTGTGATGTTGAAGAGAATTGAATCTTCTATACTTTTAGGAAATGGTTACTTGTGGTACGAGTGTGTGTGTGTGTGTGTGTGTGTGTGTGTGTGTGTGTGTAAGTATGTGTGTGTTTTTTCTGTCCCCACATGTGTGCCTAAGAACTAAAGGGCGAATGATTTGACTTCATTGCTGCCATTGAGACATTATTTTTTAGAAAAAGGGGCGTGGTTTTTGCAAGACTCCGCCCCTACATGCCTCCCATGCTTACGAACCAAGAGCCTATTTCTGTACAGTTCTATTGTAGCCTGGGGATGCTTGGATGAAAGAAATGTTTGATATTTGGAGGATGTGACCTAACATTGCCTTTCTGTCCACTCTCTTGCTCTCGAGTGACTGAGGTTCTATTTCTGGCTGAAAAAAAACAAACAAAAAAAAAACGATCGCAACAAACTGTGCAAGTGCACTCAGCGGTGCACACAAAATGTTTGTATATTTTGTTACTCGTTCATTGTCAATGACAATGATGGTGATTTATTTTTTTCTTTTAATGTTATATATGATTATATATGAATATAAACAAAGTATTGGACTACAAGGAAGAGCACTTGGGGCTGCTACTTTTTTGTTTGTTTTGAAAAACTTTCCCTGGAATTATTATTATTATTTTTTATTTTTTATGTTGCCACCATGTGAAGTGCATTTGTGTACTTATTTTTTTTTCCTTCTTAAAGCGTTGAATGTATTCCAAATATGTAATGGTATAAATGGAGTTGCTCAACACAGGATATAAATGCGTAATCAGCAGGAGGACATCAACGTAAAGTCGTTCTTGATGGAAATATGTTCGCAAAAACACACTGCCTCTACAATCCTGTTCATACAGACTTGGACTATGAAAATAAGAACTTAAAAGAGATATTCTATTCCATACTGGAGTTTTGGTTGTTTACAGACTGCACAGACATTTGTGGGTGCTTTATTATTTTTTTCTCCCTCTTTTATTTTTGTGGTGATTGAATATTTTGTAGGGGACTTAAATGGCATGACGTCAAACCCTTCCTTTGCATGTGGATATGAGCGCAGCCTATGTATCTTGCTGACTGAAACAAACTTGGATCGCTGGAACACAAGTAACGGAATTACATCAAAGATTTTTTCATGTACCTTTATCTTACAAACAGGGTGTGTGTGTGTGTGTTTTTTTTTTTTTTTTTTTAAAGAATCATTAAGGCGACCATATTTTTGTTTACTTTTCTTTGCAATGGAATCAAAATGATCATCAAGACAGAAGAAATGTTCTGTGTACCTGAAAAGAAGGCATAAATCAGATAGCACAGATGTACCGCTTGGTACTCTAAAGTGCATGTATTGAATGCTTTAACATTTATTCCCTTTACCCAATCGTTTTATTGGCTTGTGGATTATTTTGGATGGACGTATTGGATGTTGATAAGAAGAACATATAGATGACCTCAGATCTGCCAGATAATTCCTTGGACTGTGTGAACGTGTTTTATTTTTTTATATTTTGTTTTATTATTATTTTTTTCTTCCTCTGCCTCCTCTCTGAGGCTGGTTGCGGTGTCATGGTCATTATCTTCTAAGAGATAATAAAGGGACTAGCACTGCCCTGATGCCCTCACTATGCACTTTTCATTTGCTCGAAACTGTGAGGAATTTTCTTGGGCTTGGAGAGCGCCGACGCAATGCTAGATTGTCCGCTTTCTGGACGCCTCGTTTGAGTTTTTGACACCCTAGCATGAGACTCGCTCTCCTTATGGTGGCCGTTTTTCAGGCTTTTTGAAAACGTCACAACACAAGCTTTACCAGAGACGGATAAGGGAAAGTTTCAGACTCTTTTGGAGAAATTCTTGGAAATTTCCCATGGAGGATTTTCACTGAACAATGTTGATATTTAAGACTACACAAACTGCCTCCAAACTTGGTTACAATGTGGAGGTTCAGAACAGATTTGCTCAACAGTGTTGTCCGTTATGTAAAAAGGACTTAAATGCTCGGTTCAGGGTGCTAGCCAACAATTTTTTTTTTTTTTTTGTGGACTGGAATTTCATTGATGACTGAAAAAGAGACTTGTTATTTAAAAAAAAAGAAAAGAAAAAGACTGGAGGACAGTTTTTTTTTTTTTTTTTTTTTTTCAATCTCTGGTATTGGAGATACAGCTCTACCACCACCTGCTGACTACATGGCTGAAGTTCACCTTTAGCTTGAAGTGATTGAGGCGCTACAAGACCGTCTGTTTGGTAATTAACACCATTTATTTACTTCATAATTGTTCATTTATATTGTGACATTCATTGATATTTTGCTAACCCTGTTGCCAAGTTGCTTTTGGGTTAATTTGTTTCAGTCTTTTTTTTAAATATCACCAAGTTCTGTTTGAGATTTTTTAAAACACATTTTAAACAATGCTTTTAGGTGGTTAGTTAATTTATTTCTTGTTAAGTTTTTTATCGTTTTTGAAAGAAGTTGCTTATGCTCACCATGTCTTCATTATTTATACTCTTCTTCAGTGTTGGGGAAAGTAACTTTTTAAAGTAATGCGTTACAAATGCTCAATATTGAGTTACTCTCTAAAAAAACTAGTAGCGTTACTTGGTTACTTTTTATGGTAATGTGTTACATGTGCGTTAATTTTATTACTTGGCTGAGGTTTGATCTCCTTCAGAACTTGTTTTTTTAATGACTTCTTTTAATAGAGGAGCTGTGCAATTAACAACGCACTGTTAAAAAATTTCAAATATGTATTTTAGGATCATGTTATATGAGAACTTCCTGACCCCAGGGCTATAGATGCCATATATGCAGATTATTAAAAGTTTAAAGCAATGTGTTTGTTACTTTTGTACAATTTGTGTTAAGTGAAATCACTGTCCATTGAGACAATCCCCATTTCCTTTTCTTTGATACTTTCAAAATAACGAACACACTCTTTTGTTGACTGCATGATATATTGTGACTAATTTTAGTTCAGCAATTAATTTTTTAAAAGCTGATTAATTAAATTAAATGTTACTTACATTAAATTTTCAAAAAAATACCTAAAATATTATTACTTATTTTTTTTAAAAGTAATGTTACTTTACTCGTTACTTAGAAAAGTAACATAGACCCTTTTCACATTTCTGTGTTTCTCAGTAGTAGAAGTCGTCATAGTTGGGTAGACGTAGAGTGCAGTGAATGGGAGAGTACAACAAATTTTTTTACAACCACATTTGCTGAAATGATAAAAGAAAAACTCCACGACGTTATCAAGACTTTCAGAAAAAGAAAAAACAATTGTGTGAGACTGATGATGGCAGCCAGAGGAGAGAATAACATCAGTTTTACTCTCAGCTCCATAGACGCTGCATTAGAAACACCTCCCAATAAAGCAGTAATTTGTTTTTGTAATTTGACACAAAGATGATATATAATACATTAATAATTGCATATAAATGTTCATACGTTTAAAAAAAAATCATAATATTAAAAAACTTTCAAGGATTTAAGATTATGATGACTGTTAAACGCTTCGCAACAGTCTTTTAAAAAGGGTCCATTATTACGTAACTACGTAACTTATTTGTAATGTGTTACCCCCACCTCTGGTTTCATTGTCACTTGATCCTTCTGAAATTATTCTTATGGTTAGATTAATTACTATAATAAATAAATAATAAATTTACACTGTGTTTATATAGTATATAGGTAGCTAAAGAAATCTAAATTTCATCATTTAGGACCTTAAAAAGTCCTAGACTGGAGTAGGAAGTCAACAATGCTATACACGCTGCAAATAAATTGAAAGAAATTTACAGGAGAATCAAAATATAAAGCAAATATTTGCATAGATGAATTATATATAAACTTTTTGCAGTATGTGAACAGTAAAATAAATTATGGTCTATACAAATGGTGTAAAAGCATTTTAACAAATGAGTTCTAAAGTAATAGAGATCTGTAGGAGTTTCTATCAAGTTTTTAGTTTTACTTTCAAGGCAGTAAACAATAATACAGGGGTGCCTAAACTCAGTCCTGGAGGGCCGCTGTACTGCAGAGTTTAGCTCCAACTCCAATTAAAGACACCTGAACCAGCTAATCGAGCGCTTACTAGGTATACTAGAAACTTTCTGGCTGGTGTGTCGAAGGAAGTTGAACTATGCAGGACTAAGTTTGAGCACCCATGCATTACGGTGTATACAGTACTTGCATATGTACAATTACATTTATATTCATCAAATATATTCTTTTTTTTGTTAAGTCTTCAACCATTTAAATGATCATTACCAGACCCATTTGGAAGTTTATAAGACGCATCAACCCTTATTGGAGTAGCTCCAATGCAGAAAATAAATCTGCTTTCCCACCCCCAAAAGTCTGATTTCCCTAAAAAATGTGTTAATCCCTTTTCCTCTTTTCTGCTTTGATTAGATCTTTGCTGTTCCAGATGAAGATGGAGGCTCTCCTGCTTCATCTCCATTTCCTCTTCATTTCCTGTCCTCCGCCTTCAGAAGAAAGTACCAGCGTGTGGAATCCAGACAGCACACGAAATGAAGACCGCACGATGAGGACAAGGAGAGCTGCAGTTTCCATATTCAGACTACTAAGAGGAAGAGGAGAGGACTGCGAATGCTGGAAACTCTGAACTATGAGATCTCCAACATGCACAGCATAGTTCTGCTGGAGCGCAGCCAGGGTTCACTTTACAAACACACCATCACTCAAATACACCTGCATACACACATTCGAGGATGAAATGATTACTTATACACCTACTGACATGGCAAACACAATCCCACTACACTTCATTCTGGCTGCCATGTAAATAATGTATATAATCCAAACCCTTCTCCTTTTCTCTGTTGGGTTTTGAGGATTGTTTCTTTCTTTTTATTTTTGTTGTCCCTTCCCCCTTCCTCTCTTTTATGACATGCCTTAACAGTTGAGTTCTGCCTATGAAGGCACACTTAAAGACGTGTAAACAAAAGAAGTGTTAACATTCAGCGAGATTAGCTCTGACATAATAGTTTGTGATTTTATTTAAGAACCCCCTGAAACATTAATAACCTGCAAAATGATTATTATAACATTACAAATGACCTCGGGTGTGACTGGATGAGTATTCACAATGATGCAGCCCATCAGAACAACCATTTTTTGGATTTGTATTGTCAATATGAGAAGCAAAAGTAGTTACTGGGTCGCAGTTTGTTGTCGAACGTCTGTTGGTCTTTGATCTCAGAATAGAAGTGGGTGATCAGAAATAGTTTTGCTCATCTCTTTCAGCCTTTACTGAGCTAAAGATCAGAAGGGATGTGATTTGATATCATTATCTGTATAAGGTAGCACCCTCTTAAAGGAACAGTTCACCCAAATATGTAAATTCTGTCATCATCCAAACTTTTGAACACAAAGGAAGATATACTGAATTACAGCCATTGACTTCCATTGTATTTTTAAAATTCCTACTATTGATGTCACTGGCTGTTTTTTTGCAACATTCTTTAGGTTATATTGTTTTGTGTTGAACAGAGAAAAGCAATTCATAAAAGGTTAGAACCATTTAAGTCTGAGTAAATGGTGTGAACATTTTCATTTTTGGGTGTACTATGCCTTTAAGATAAATAGAATTGTGTAATTTTGCAGGTCAGATTAAACTAGATGCCGAATGTCTTTGCTGGTATGCAAAATTTCATGTTTTAAAATGTTAACGATGATCAAAATACGCGTTTCATATATTTATTGATTCAGTCAGTATGAATGGCAAAAGTACTGCAGTAAGCCGTTTGTTCGTGTTAAAATCATCCGCTGAATTAAATTGGAAATGGCTCACTGTAAATCAGCACTGCATAATGAGAACTTGTCACACATATCTTAGGTGGATGTCTTCTAAAATTTGCTGTATAAAAAGGTCACAAACCATTTGACGATAATGTTTGAATATTCCTGGTGTAAATAGTTTTTGGGGTTTCTGGTTTGTTTGAAGAAAAGTAATAAATACTTAAAGAATAAAGAACTTGTGTCGACTCACTGTTTGGTAGTTCACATAAAAACTAGTTGTCAGGGTTTTCATTTTTGTCTGCATAAAGTGACATACTTTGCCTGCGGGTAGTAACATGCTAGAAACAGGTTATTAACATGCTAATCTAGTCAAAAACATGCTAGTATGTTATATATGCCAGAATGTTAACAACATGCTAATAATGTGATAATCATGCTAGAAACAGGCTAACAACGTCCTAATCATGTTAGAAGCATGCTAGCAATACACTATTCAAGCTACAAACATACCAGCATGCCAGAATGTTAACAACATGTTAGTAATGTGCAAATTATTTTAGAAACAGGTTAGCAACATGCTAATCATGTTAGAAACATGCTAGTAACATTTAATCATGTCAGAATGTTATAAACATGCAAGTAATGTGCTAATTATGCTAAAAATAGGCTAGCAACATGCTAATCATGTTATAAGCATGCTAATCATACCAGGATGTTAACAACATGCTAATAATGTGCTAATTATGCTAGAAACAGGCTAGCAACATGTTAATTATGTCAATGTTAACAACATGTTAGTAGGCTAATGTTCTGATCATGTTAGAAACAGGCTAGCAACATGCTTATCATACCAGGATGTTAACAACATGCTAATAATGTTATTATTATGCTAAAAACATGCTAGCAACATTATCATGTTAAAACATATTAGTAGCATGTTAATAATGCTAAGATATTAACATACTAGAACTGTGCTAATCAAGCTAAAAAAGGTAAGCAACATGCTATTTGTGTTAGAAACATGCTTGTAACATGTTAATCATATCAATATGTTAACAACATGCTAATGTGGAAATCATGTTAGAAACTATGTGCTTATCATGTTAGAAACATAATAACATGCTAATTATGCCAGAATATTTACAATGTGCTAATCATGCTAGCAACATGCTAATCACGTTAGAAATAGTAAAGTTAATTATGCCAGAATGTTAACAACATGCTAATAATGTGCTAATCACGCTAGAAACAGGCTAGCAACATGCTAATCATGCCAGAATGTTATCAGCATGCTGATAATGTGCTAATCATGCTAGAAATAGGCTAGCAACATATTAATCATGTTAAAAGCATGCTAATGCAAAAATGTTAACAACATGCTAATTTTGTGCTAAACATGCTAGTAACACGGTAATCATGCCAGCAATGTGCTAGTAACCATAGCAGCTGTATCCTAACTGCATAGCTACCGCTATCATTTTGTCCCCGCAACCACTCCCTATCTTTTTTGAGATGTACACTTTTTTTTAAACCTCAAGCTTTTAAAACTATTCAGACTGGGTTTCTCAAAGCATTAATGTTTTCTTCTCTAATTAAATAATATTTATTTTTCCATGTGGAAAAAATAAAAAATAAATAACATTTAGAAACAATGATCAAAATATATTTATTTGACTAGAGATTCACAAATAATCTTATCTCCACACTGGCGTGCACAAATAACACACAAGCCTTTCTTTACTGTCAGTGTGTGAATAAAAAAAAATGCACAAGGATGTGAGTATATAATGTATAACAGTAACATTCATTTAAAATTATATATTTAGTAAATGCAATTAAACTGTCCACTTTAATGTTTTAAATAAAAAAATGTAAAATAGGGGTGGATTACGTTTATCATCTTTTAGTATGAGCGATAAAGATTATTAAGTGGTCCAAGCAACTTTTTTCTATATTTAGTGAGTAAAGTTTTCTATCAGTTGTCAAATCCAATGGTAATTTGAAGGATATCCGCAAATATAAAGTTTCAAAACGACACTTTAGCTTATTGAGGGCTGTTTTGGGAATATGCCTGGCGAGGTTTTGTCATAAAAGCTTTCATTACACTGAAATATTGATATTATTTCTGTTAAACAGTATGAAGACGTCTTTATTTTTGCTTATTGAAAAATACCAAACAAAACACAGTCTAATATATGACAAAATACATTAAAGCTTTTCGAAAGTGTACTAAAAATATTTCATAGTATGACGCAAATATCGCGAGAGTCACGTGACCTGGATAAGCTTACAGTGCAGGCATGGCGGCGCCCTGCGATTACAAACACGACGCGCGAGTTTTTGTTGACTGTTGGTTTAACATAGTGCATTTGTAGTCGAGATGCTCGGAAACTATTCTCTGAATTCAATAAAACACAAACACTGAGGACGACTGCGTGTTCTGTAAGAGCCAGAGCACAAGACACATCAGACACGAGTTAAAGAAACAACAGGTAGAGTGATGCCGCTGTTATACACAACATATTTATAATTACGATTATGATAATTGTAATTTTAGTGATGCAGCCGCACCAAATTGTTAACTTAACACCTGACAGCATTTATACTCATCTGCATATACACTAGAATACATGTCAGGACGGGACAGTGTCGTTATGTGTTCTAAAAAGGTTTTCAAGCAGACAAAAATAGAACAACACGAGTAACTAGGTGACATTAAAAGAGTCCTAAAGTTGGTTTTATATTCGGACATTCGGACTTTCACCTTAATAGGAGGCCTATTTTCAGAAAAGCATTCTTTACAAACTCGAAATATGGACATCATATTAGCCTCCAAAGACTAAAGTACAAAATTGTTCAGAGTCAATTAAATAGTGTTTGCTATATCTGAATGTGTGAATGTAAAACCAACTTTACCTCAATTTTAAGCCTCACATTGCAGCCGCAAGATGCTGATTTGTTGCAATTTTAATTCGAAACTTTAGTCTTTAACTCATTTGTAAGCAGACGTTTTTAATCATTTAAAATACATTAAAATATCATAAGGTAATTTGTTCCATTGTATGTTTTAATAAGTACAAGTCAGAATAACTTTTTCTTTTTGTAAGAATGTCTGTATTATGCTGTATTATGCACTATTCCATCCATATTTTCATATTTCAGTTATCTAAACGTATATTGAAATAATATAAACACTTGCATTTAATATGCTTTCTGTTTATTTATGAAGAGTTCAGATGCACAAACCTCTAAGTGCTGTTTGACCTTTACTTCTAAACTGGACTTTTTCCCCCAGCTTCCTGTTTAGGTTCAGTAATTTCACTTTTATGGCAAATAAGTTGTTTTCATGTTTCATAGCTTTTAAAGTGAACTTATTGAACATAAACATGAATGGCTGAAAAAAGAATAATTTCAGAGTGCAATGTCAGAGTTTTTTTTTTTTTTTTTTGTGCATACAGTGTATATATATATATTGAATGTATTATGTATAGGTGACCCAGGATCAAAAAATTATGACTGTCAAATTTTGGAATTGAGATGTATATCCTCTGAATAAACAAGCATTCCATCGATGTATGGCTTGTTTAGATATGACAATATTTGATTGAGATTCAACTGTTTAAATGTCTTGAAGCTTAGGGTGCATAAAATACAAATAGTGAGAAAATTGCCAGTTGTCCAGATTGAGTTCCCAGCCATGCATATTACTAATCAAATGATAGGTTTTGATATATTTACAGGAAAAAACTTGCTAAATATCTTCATGAAAGATGATTTACTTAATGATTTCTGACATAAATCGATAATTTTGACCTATACAATGTTTATTTGGCTATTGCAACAACATAAGGGAGAGGGGTTAGAGGTCATATTTAGTGAGAACTTCTATTGTATTCATCAAGGCATTACAAGTACATTTTTATAATGAAACATTTTTTATATATTACTTACTATTTAAATTCTATGCGGTTTTTTCATTTCAAAGAAAGTATAAGCATTTTTGCTGAATTTTACAATAAAGAGTATACATTTATTTCTCATAATAAATGAGCAAAAATAGATTTACAGAAGTCTCGCATGTGTTTTTTAAGTTAGAAATGGGTAATGAAAATGTATAATCTCCAAGGACTTTTTTTATTTTTTCATTTTCAGACAATTTATGTGTGTACTGTATATAACTATAACTGAATTACCATGACTTGCTCATATTTTCAGAGGCCACTGCACACTTATTTATCCGTGAATACAGGATGTCCGGTGTTGCTCAGAGTGGTGAGGGTGCTGCAGGACAGGAAGCAGAGGCTGATGGAGAACCTCCCCATGAAGCACTTGTTCAAGGAGCACTGGAAGAAGAGGAGGAACCAGCAGCGAAACAGCCTCGACTCCAGCAGGAGGATGTGGCTCTTGATTTCCCTATGATAGAGATAGCCCATGAGCCTTCAGAGGAGAAGAGCAAAAGCCAAGATGCTGCTGGGGTTGAAGAGGAAGGTGAGGCCATTTAGTAAAAGCTACAGTACATTTAGGATTTAATGCATCCTGTTTGGCACTCTGTCAATACACACTTCTGATGTGAGAAATAAACTCCATATGTAAAGCTTCCGCTTCCATCTTTAAAGAATTACACGGATCTTGTCCTTTAGCTTTTCATATGCATTCAATTTTATAGATAAGTGTGTAAGTGAACTTTAGGGTCCTTCTGAAATTTGAATGTGATGTTTTTTGTTTTTTTTTTGAGCTGCAAGGAAGTGAAGTGTTTTTTGTTTTTTTCATGGTGCCACAAAATATATAAAATATAGTTTAATGCTTGATCCCAGGACGTGTTTGCTTGCTTGGAAATGAAAAAGCAGATAAATTTAACTGAATTACACCTACAGGAAGAATTAAGAAGTTCAAAGTCTCACTTTACATTCTAAATAAAGGTAAGCAGAATGGGATTAGTGATCAAATAATACACTTTTTGGAATCTTTGGAATCAAAAATCTTTTATATATATATATATATATATATATATATATATATATATATATATATATATATATATATATATATATATATATATATATATATATACACACACACACACACACACCCACACACACACAATATGCCTTTTAGACAAGCTAGACTTATTTATGGACATTTACTCAAGAGAAATTGCTTTAAAATGCCAGTATTGGAATAAAATCCTAAATGTAAAAAGCATACTCTTAATGTTATGTGGAAGTGGTTTTAATATATAGAGACTTTGGAATTATTCAATGAGAGTATATGTGAATTCTTCAAAAAATTTAGAAATTATCCAAAAAAATCTTTAAAAGAAATTAATCCTAATTTATTTATTATTGTATTGTTTAAAGAAACATTTTACTTATTTATTAATTATATTTTGGGCTTAGTCCCTTTACTAATCAGTTGCCCTTCCAGCTGCAACCTATCACTGGAAAACCCAAACACACATACACTACGAACAATTTAGCTTACCCAATTCACCTGTACCACATGTCTTTGGGTTGTGGGGGAAACCAGAGCACCCGGAGGAAACCCACACTAACATGGGGAGAACATGCAAACTTAACACGGAAACGCCAACCAAGGCTCAAACCAGCGACCTTCTTGCTGTGAGGCGACAGCACTCATCGTGTTTATCATTCGTTCATTCATTTTCTTTTCAGCTTAGATCCTTTATTAAACAGCGGAATGAACCGCCAAATAATCCAGCATATGTTTTACACAGTGGATGCCCTTCCAGCTGCAACCCATCACTGGGAAACACCCATAAACACTCATTCACACACATACACTATGGACAATTTAGCTTACTCAATTCACCTATAGCGCTTATCTTTGGACTCTGGGGGAAATCGGAGCACCAGGAGGAAATTTACATCAACAAGGGGAGAACATGCAAACTTTACATAGAAACGCCAACTCACCCAGGCAAGGCATGAACCAGCGACCTTCTTTCTGTGAGGCATCAGCGCTCATCCTGTATATATGTTAACAAAATTATTTTGGTATTATTGCCTGATACTAACTGGAACATGCACCAAAACCCTAGCAAACATTACAGCAATTATACAGCACAATCAAAAATACAATACAAAAGATATCAGCCAGACTAATAGAATAAGAAACAAAATACTGCCAAAAATAGTTACAGAGACATTATTAACCTACATCTAAGGAAGGGGCCCCTATATTTTGTCATACATTTTCTGTTTGCCAGAGAATCTAGAGAAACATAACCTTTCCAGCTTAAAGGCAAAAATCATTTCAGCTTTTAAAAAAACTTGGAGGTGTCGTGGAATTTCACTCCATCAGAATCACTCTCTTGGCCTGCACCATGCCAAACATAAGGGAGAGTTGTTGGTGTTTTGGCCAAGTTAGAGCCTGGTCTGAACATCCATACAAAGCTAAATCCAAATAAATTTTAATGTCTATTTCCAAAGCCTGGGAATAAAGTCTGAAGATGCTTAATCTAGAGAGACTTTGAAGGAATTTTTCAATGAGAGTAAATGTGAATTCTTCAAAAGTTTTTGAAATGAAAGGAAATATTTAAAAAAAGAGAGATTTTCATATTATTTTATGCATTATTGCATTGTTTATAGAAAGATGTTACTTATAAACTGTAAATTTGATCATATTTTGCCTTCAAATATACATTGAAGCTGATAAGGCAATAAACTCTAAACTCTCTTTTCTCTCTCTCTCTCTCTCTCTCTCTCTCTCTCTCTCTCATTATTGTTCTATTACATATATTTATATTTTGGTTAAAAGGCACTTTTCACCCAAAAATGAAACTTTTCTTGCTATTTTATCACATTTAGGGGTACTAAACTTTTAAACAAAGCAATATATTTTGTTGAATATTGGAAAAAAAACAGCCACTGACATCCATTTTAAGCCAATGGGAATTTTTTCCAACATTCTTCAGTATATCTTACTTTGTGTTCAACAGTAGAAAAGAAAATCATTGTTACAAGCAAAGGATAAATAAATAATAGCAGAATTGTCATTTTTGGGTAAACTCTCTTTAATATTTAACCACATTTACATACAAGAGTGAATTACCTAATTTTGACAAGTTTAAACCTTTTGTCTAATGTAAATTATACCGTAACTGCATTAAGTGATTGTTGATGCTGACAATATCCCTCTTTCCCCAGTTTAAAAATCTTTCAAGTGCACAAAAAATTAAGATGACTTTTCCTTACAGCTAAATAAATGGCAAGCAGAATGTGATCATTGAATAAAAAAATAAACTTTTTAGAATCCAACCCTTGGCAGGAAAAACTAAATTTATACAATTTAAGACCTAAGAACTTTTAATGCAAAATAGCATTTTAGACAAACTAGACTTTTACTTAAAGAAGTTGCTTCAAAAAGCCAGTATTGCAGCAACATCGCAAATGTAAATTGCATACTTTTAACATTTTGTGAAAGTGGTACTAATCTAATCTAGAAAGACTGAAGGAATTAATACAGCTACTGTGTCATAGGGCCATTCCTGCCTTGTCAACTAAGGTGTTCCTTCTTTTAGTGTCATATCATCAGACAGATGAACCAGTACATGTTGCGGAACATGCAGAGATGGAAAGAGACAATGAATGGCATCAAAACGGAGCAGAGAGCAGAGAAATGCTGGAACAAACTGAGGAGAATACAGCTGATGAGCCTGAGAAGAACAGTCCAGAAGCTGAGCAGCACTAGTAAGTGTACCGCTCATCTTAATGGAATAGTTTCCCCAAAAATGAAGAGTCTGTCATCATTTACTTTCTCTTCACTTGACACAAATCTGCTTGAGTTTATCCTTTTTTTGTAAAACTCAAAAGAAGATATTTAGAAAAATGTTGGAAATAACCAATAATCATTGACTTCTTTAGTAGTTGTTTTTCTTCAAATCAAATCACTTTTATTGTCACATCATCAGCAGCACTTGTGCTATGATGAGTGAAAAGCTTAGGTGCTGGCTCCAGACAGTACAAAATACAGATAGTGCAAATACAACAACAGTGCAAAATACAGACAGTGCAAATAAAATGACAGTGCAAATAAAACGACAATGCAAAATACAACAGCATACTCCAAAAAAAACAAAACAAACAAAAAAAAAAACAGGACAATGTAAAATTTTAAAAATGACAGCAGTATGCGACTATGGAAGTCAATGGTTATCAGCTTTCTGATATGGTCATCTTTTGTGTTTAACAGAATAAAGAAACGAATAGGTTTATAACTACTTGAGTAAATAGAGAGTGCATTTTCATTTTTGGGTGAACCATCCCTTTAAGCTGTTGTGATAAGGATTAAATTTGATGTGACCGTTACAGTGGAATGAGATATTTTCAGCTCGTCTTTGTTTCTACAGTCAAGGCCTGGACTTCAGGCAGAATCCTCAGATGCTGACGGGATCATGGGCCGAGTACACGCACTCCGCTGAGAATTACCTCAGAGGCTGCAAATGGTAAGAACCGATAAAAGCAGTGATTTTATGACGGCTGTATCGTGTAAGCTGAATCACAGCTTGTGTCTCTCTTTATGACATGCCTCTGCAGGGCTCCAGATGGTTCCTGCATTGTGTCTAACAGCGCTGATAATGTTCTCCGGGTGTATAACCTCCCAGCTGAGCTGTACAGCAGCCAATGGGACTTGCTTTCTGAGATGGTCAGTCTGCGTCAGATCTTCCTTTATATTCATCTTTATGAGCCTAATAGTCAATTTTTGGCATATTATATTATATTATAATATATTATATTAGTTTATTTTATATTATATTATTATAATACAATTTTTTTTATTTTTAAATAGTATTATAATAATATATACATAATAGCTATAATTTATATATATAATACTTCATAAAGAAATACTACACTTACCGGCCACTTTATACCGTCCAGCTATTCATAATGCAAATGTCTAATCAGCCAATCCCATGGCAGCAACTCAATGCATTTTGGCATGTAGACATGGTCAAGACGATCTGCTGCAGTTCAAGCCGAGCACCTGAATGGGGAGGAAAGGGGATTTAAGTGACTTTGAACATGGCATGGTTGTTAATGCAAAATGGGCTGCTCTGAGTATTTCAGAAACTGCTGATCTACTGGGATTATTACGCACAACCATCTCTAGGGTTTGCAGAGAATGATCTGAAAAAGAAAAAATATCCAGTGAGCAGCAGTTCTGTGGGCGCAAATGCATTGTTGATGCCACAGGTCGGAGGAGAATGATCTGAATGCTTCCAGCTAAAAGAAAGTAACTCAAATAACCACTTGTTACAACTGAAGTATGCAAAAGAGCATCTCTAAATGCACAACACATCCAACCTTGAGGTGGGTGGCTACAGCAGCAGAAGACCACACTGGGTGCCACTGCTGTCAGCTAAGAACAGATAATTGAGGCTACAATTCGCACATTGCCTGTTCTAATGAATCTTGATTTCTACTTCAACATTCGCATGGTAGGGTCAGAATTTGACGTCAACAACATGAAAGCATGGATCTTCTCTGCCTTGTTTCAATGGTTCAGGCTGGTGGTGGTGTAATCGTGTGGTAGGATATTTTCTTGGCACACTCTGGCCCATCAGTACCAATTGAGCATTGTGTCAACGCCACAGCCTACCTGAGTATTGTTCCTTACCATGTCCATCCCTTTCTGACCACAGTGTACTCATCTTCTGGCTACAAAGAGCACCTTTGGGATGTAGTGGAACAGGAGATTCGCATCATGGATATGCCACTGACAAATCTGCAGCAGCTGTGTGATGCTATTATGTCAGTATGGACCAAAATCTCTGAAGAATATTTCCAGTACCTTGTTGAATCTAAGCAATGAAGGATTAAGGCAGTTCTGAAGGCAAAAGAGGGTCCAACCTGATGCTAGTTAGGTGTACCTAATAAAGTGGCCGGTCATTTGATATGCTTTTGTTCCATTGATACTGATTTTTAAATCATTCTCATTGCTAACTTGAGATGTTTGATGCAAGTTGCATTTTTAATTGAATTTATAAGGGACTCAAACTCTTGCAGTGATGGAATTAATGTAGAGCAACATTATAAAGCATCAAGGGCTAAAAACTCTGTTATACTACTCAAGTTGAAACATTTTAGATTACATATTTATTTACATAATTCCAATACACTGCTTATTATTTAACAATAATACTACAATATATTGTTTTCAGCAGCCAGTGTTAGAATCAACAATATATGCAAAACAAGAAAATTAGTCTCCAACACCTTGGTGTGAAATCAAGAAATAATTTTTGGTGTTTGTCAAGAAATTATTTTACACCCTGATTATCATTTACCTGAACAAGTAAAAATACTAAATTGTCTTGACATTCGCAATTAAAATTCACAGTCAAATTGTCACTTTTTCTTTATTCTGATATATTAATATACATAGAAATCCATAATTTTGATGAAGGACTTGTTTGAAAATCTTAATGCTGTCTTAACTCAGAGTCCTGTGCTGAAGATGGCAGAAGGAGACACCATCTATGACTACTGCTGGTTCCCCAAGATGACTTCTACTGACCCGGACACATGCTTGTGAGTTTGTGCATGTCAATCCAAGCTTTTTTAAAATGATCAAGTGCATCTAGAGATGTTAATAGCATCTGAGTCAGCAACCTTTGCCCCCATTAATGCCTGTGGCCGGTTAACTGCATAGACGTCATAAGAATGAGTCAGGACTAAAAGTAAGATAGAAAAAGGCTCCATTTTGAATTTGGAAATCTAGACATTATCCTTTTTTTGGTCAAACTAGGTTTTAAGAGTTCACATGGTGGCTGTGTATATGGAAATGGTTCCTGCTGTTAAAAGGCCACCACTTATTTTGCAATAAAAAAATCTAAAATAAAAAAAGAGTTTTGATAATTTTCCTATTTAAAGCTTGACACTTACTTTATCACATTGTGTACTAAACCTGACTGAAAATGAAAATTTGCTATTTTTTAGGATGATGGTTAATAACTGTACTCTGAATAATATCAAGAATTTTGCTGCTGTACCATGACTGCAGCAGGCGCAATGATATTACACAGATTCTATCTGGTGGTGCAAGGGGACTATTTTCAGGTGCTGCATAACGCCTGAATCATTGTCATTGCATCATTCTGCTTTAGATAGGAAAATTATCAAAATAAATTTCTGTCATTTTTAAGTAAAATTCTAATGGTCTAATTTGATTCAATGATATGTGCCAAGCTAAACTAAGTGCTTCCGCCAGGCCTGGAGATCAGCTGAATGAATTCAAGAACGATGAAACTCAACTGTTAACTGTAAGGGACTTGATCGTAATTGTAAAAAAAAAGCTGAGTGTTTCTTTAAACTGCATTTTGGTCAATATAGTCAGGAATGACTGATAATAAACAGGGTCTTAGCATGGGTTTGCCACAGCCATATCACCCCGCAGCCCAAGATTTTTACAGTTACACAATTTAGAATTCTTTTTCTCTTTTTTTCAGTTTGACGTTTTATATTAAATAATATATTGTAACAAATTCCTGTGGTGCAAAGTTGCACCATCATCATTATGTCTCCAGAGCTACATGATCTTTTATAAGTCCTTAATTTTCATACACTGATTTAGTTTTTAGGAATGTTTTTTTCGCTAATCAATTTTGGGAAAAGTTGTGCTTAAAGAGCTGAAGCACAACTTTTTTTTTTTTTTTTTTTTTTTAGCAATGATTAGGTTAAAAAAAATCCTAAAAACTAAATCAGTATATGATAGAACAGCTTTTATGTTTAATACAAGGTTTTGTGATATTTTTAATAAATTATTTAAATTTAATTGTTTTTTTTTAAATGGAAAATCTCAGTAACCCCCGATTCTAAACGGTAGTATAAATATTTACAACATATTATCTTTTGTGTTGTGTGCTCCTTTTAAGTTAAAGAGGGCTAAGAGTCCGCCTTTACCCATAATGATGTCATTTTGAGAATCCCTGTTATTGTGGATAGTGTGCGGAATGTAAATGGACTGTTTGCAGGGTGGTTTGAAACCCTCATTAATAGTGGTCATTTCGTATTTATCTCAACAGCTACTTTGAATGCTAGCGGGCAACAAATAACGCAGAACAAACTGGGGCCTATTATCCGTTCAGCAAAGCAGCTGACAGTTAGACTTGTGTAGCCGTGGCCAAATTGATATGCAGCGTGCGAATGCTTTGTCCTGTTTGTGCTTTGGAGAATAATTGTGTTTGGCTTCCCATTCAGCTCATGACAGAATAAAACAGCTTCTGCGTGCCAATGTTTCACACTCATGATCCAGAGGAAGATCAGAAGCCTTTTCTTTCAGTCAATGTCTACACTGATAAAGACTAATGTAATTGGATGCCCATGGCTGTTGTTAAAATGTTGGACATGGGTTTTAAAGGGTAGTTCACCCGAAGATTGACATTCTGCTCTCCTCTCTCAATTTATTTTTCACTTACCGCAGTTGTTCTGAAATCCTATTCACATTCGTGCACGTTCATCATTAACTACAAATGGTTTCAATGGTCCAGTTTCAGCCTCTGATTAACACCACTTATATCCACTGTCACATTTATTTTACCATCTCCATTCTCTGTTTTACAAAGTGGCCCAGTTAATTCTTTCCAGAGATGTGGCACGTCTTTAAAGAGATTGTTTTGTTTAATTAAGCTGCCATTGTTCCAGCTCCAGTATTGCTCTGTTTAGTTTGTGTTATGATCAGTGCTGATGAGCCTTGTCTCCTTCTGTGGCGGAGATTGTTGGATTTAACTCAGAATGTCAATTTCAAGGCTTAGAATTATTGAGGCTGCTCACATTTCCTGTTTCTGAGAAACCCTTAGGAGAGAGTAATCGGTCTGTCTGTCTGTTTGTCTATCTTTCTGGCTGTCTGTATGTCTGTATGTCTGTCTGTTTAATCTGTATGTCTGTTAGTATGTGTGTCTGTCTAGCTATCTATCTATCTCTCTGTCTGTCTGTCTGTCTGTCTGTCTGTCTAGCTGTCAAGCTTTCTCTCTGACTGCTTGAATAGCTTTATCTGTCTGTCTGTGTATCTATCTATTTGTCTGTCTGTCTGTCCGTCCGTCCGTCCGTCCATCCGTCCGTTGAGCTGTCTATCTGTCTGTCTGTCTGTCTGTCTGTCTGTCTGTTGAGCTGTGTGTTGAGCTGTCTATCTGTCTGTCTGTCTGTCTGTCTGTTGAGCTGTGTGTTGAGCTGTCTATCTGTCTGTCTGTCTGTCTGACTGTCAGTCTATCATTCTGCCTTTCTGTCTGTCTAGTGATCTGTCTGTCTATTGTTCTGTCTGTCTATTTGTCTTTTTGCCTTTGTTATTCTGTCTGTCTGTCTGTCTGTCTGTCTGTCTGTCTAACTTTCTGTCTTTGAAAGTCTGTCTATCATTCTAACTTTCTGTTTGTCTAGTTATTTGTATGTCTGTTGATCTAAATTTCTGTCTTTTTCTTTGTCTGGGTGTATAGCTGTCTGTCTGTCATGCTATCTGTCTGTCTGTCTGTCTGTTTATATGTCTGCCTGTTATTCTGTCTTTCTGTTGATCTATCTGTTTGTCCTTCTCTCTGTCTATTTGACTGTCTGGCTATCTTGTCTATCATTCTAACTTTCTGTCTGTGTTGTTGTTTGTCTGTCTTTTGTTCTGTCTGTCTGTCTGTTATTCTGTCTATTGTTCTGTCTGTCTGTTGAACTGTGTCTATCTAACTTCCTGTCTTTCTCTCTGTCTAGCTGTATAGTCTGTCTATTGAGCTGTCTATTCTTCTGTCTGTCTGTCTGTCTGTCATTCTAACGTTCTCTCTGTCTGTCTGTCTGTCTGTCTTTCTAGCTATCTTTCTCTCTGTCTATTGTTCTGTCTGTTAAACTGTTTGTTTTTCTAGCTGTCTGTCTGTTCATCTGTCTGTAAGTCGATCTGTCTGTTGGTTTGGTCTTGGTGAATCTGTGTTCTATCTTTCTGTTTGTCTCTCTCTATTCATGTTTTGTCTGTCGTTTGGCCTGTTATTCTTTTGAGCAAGTCTGACCGATTGTCTGTCTGTCTGTCTGTTGTTTTCTGCTGTGTCAAGTTTTTATTTCTGAGACTGCCTTAACCTGTACTGCGTCAAAAATTTTAATGCATTGAACAGCAAAAACAGTAACGTTATTTTTCCAGCCCTATAACTGAATGTTTGTGTGTTTGAGTTTTCTAAAAGTATCACTGCAATTGTTTAGAGTAAAAGTGGCCTCTTATTCTTCCTTTCCAGTTCTCTGTCGCTTCATCTCTTGTTTAATGATGCTCTCTTTGATGGTTGGATGCTTTTTTTGTGGGACGAAAGGCAATGGAACAGAAATCAGTCTAAATCAATGGCAGTCGTCACAGAAAACTGCGGCAGGTTGCTAACGAGGGCTCGTTAACTGTGGCATGTGCTGTTTCCCACACGCAGCATCCGCTCTGATCAAACACTGTTTGGGATTACAGAATCCACCCTGCAGCAACTGAAAATGACAAAGAAGAGGGAGGGTTGTGGGTCAAGGACGAAACTGTGAACTTAATAAAGAATGATAAAGATGAAGAGGATGAGGTTAAAGAAGTCACACAAGACATGCTCTGCTCGGTAACAAGTTGACAGCATCTATCTGGTTTGGATATTGTTTACAAGTACTTTTGAAGCTCTCTGGAACACAGCAGTTTATAAGCTTTGCCTTCCAGGCGTGTGTAAGCGTAATGTTCCAAATGCTGTCATTGGCTGCAGAGCTGTCCACAGGGGCTGATCATTAACTCTCACTTATGATTGGCTCTTACCTCCAGGGGAGGCGCTCAGTATTCAGGTCATTTACTTCCTTCATTTCAACTTAAGACATTTGGTGTAGTTTCTCATTTTCTGCATTTAAATGATCTTGCCCTCCTGTTAAGACTTAGCGTTATATGTAAAAAATACTATTTATAATTTACTCCCCATCATGGTGCTCCAAATCCATAATACTATATTTTGTGAAACACAAGTGGAGATAAGGAATCATTTTGTGAGAGGTTCTACATTTTGTTAATAATATTTTCGGTTTTACACAACACAAGTACACTGCTCTCTGATTGTTGGGTATTTTATCAGAAAATGCTTGTCCCTCCCAACAACAAAGACAATGGTGCCGTCTAGCTATGGTATTTGGATGGAGTATTATTCTAAGATATTGGAAATCTACTACACCATCTTCATTTGATGAATAGCTAGAATTCATGTCTAGCACTGCTAGCTATAAACGTGATATTTAGAGTCTAAGAGCGCTTTAATTTGTATATGAACACTTGGCAGTCCTTTCTTACACTGATTGAGAAAACATTCTGAAAAGAGAAAAATGATGTGCAAAAAAGAAGCTTTTCTCCTTTTGATTGTATAAATGTGCAGTGTATATTTTGTTTTATTTATTGCTGTTGTGCTATTTACTTTACTAATTTATTTTATTTGGATTATGTATTTAGTTAGTTAATCAAAAAGGCACAATATAAATTTCCTCAATATTTTCAATCATCTTTTCTCGCTAGTGAAATAATGTTAAGCCCCGGTCAAATCACATGATTTTTATTGTCGGTTACGAAAGTCACTATGCAAGATGATGCAGTTTTTGTCTTGATAAAATCACTACACATTCCTTCACGTTCCCTCATGCCATAATGTTTTCGACGAGCGTTATTTCCCAAAGCGTTCACGAGTGTTGCTATAACAATGTTTCTTATCTTAATTTTAATGTTTTTTTTTAATCTTATTTCAATCTTAATAAGCACTGATGCTTGCTGACAACTAGACTATATTATTTAAGGGAATTTATGACATTGATAGGATCAAACATATATTTCCTTTTTAATATTAAGATTTTTTCTTTTAAATCTAAATGTAAGCTATATTTTCCAGCTATGGGTTGCCTATAAAACACTCCCTCGCCTGAACTTGCAGCAAGTGAGACAGAAAACAAATTTAAGACTTAAACTTTAACTTAAGTCAAAATAATGACTAAAAAAGAAATAAGCAAATTTATAACAGAAGTTTGTGATGCAACAATTACCGTGGAGGATTATTTAAATCCTTATTTTGCACAGAGCGGAACAAATCATCCACCTGCACAGCTGAGTAATGGACAGGCTCAAAAAAACAAAACAAAATTAGTATATTTTTCGTGGTATAATTTGTATCTTAATTTTAATGTATTTTTTATTGGTCAGTTAACTATAGATAACGAATAACATCTGAGGTGAAGTACTTCAAACCAGTCTGATATGCTTCAGCCCCAAAACACGAACTGGTTTGTTAAATAAAATAAAATCTAGCCTGTATTAACGGCAGCACTCGCGGATAACTGAGAAATGATGTGCTCCTATTGTCACCCATGTGATGGAACTTGTCGAGTAGAATGGGGAAAAAATTAAACATGCTAAACTTTCTGCGATGGTGTCGTGAGGCGTCGCAGACATGGCATCGGTTGTTGTGGATTATGCAATAATACACAAGAAGAAACAATTTAATCTTGTTTCACAACGCCCATTTGTCTTTTTTATGAATTACTACGACACTCTACATCAAAAAAATTTAATTATCTGACTGTGGCTTTACCTACCACCTCATGGTAGAATCAACAAAAAATAAAATAACCCATCTCCTCTGACCACTTTACTTTATCCCACTTTTTTACTTTCCCTTACTCCCTATCTGTTGTAGTTTGTATATGATATTATAATGCATTTTTTGTTTATTTCTCTTTTTTTGATGAGAATTTTGATTTGCTTAATGCATTCTTTTTAAAATGAAGAGTAAATCAACTGTTTTTTTAATGAAAAGCACTTGCTTAATCAATTAATTAATTAATGTAAACCAACTTTTTACCAAATGTCAATAAAATTTTTCACACACTGAGAAAGGCTTTGAGCTGAAATGTTTATAGTTATTTTCCAGAAGAATGTGAAATAATAAATATAATGCAATAACTCAATGAGTGCGGATCATGGGATTTTTAAGTTGAACCTGGGCAAAATATGTGTAGGGAACACTTTATTATTGTAAATTATATTTAAAAAAGTTTTCCATCAATATAAAGTCATCATAAAATATGTATGCATATATACTAATTTTGTCCAGATCCATTTTCCTAGGAATTTTCTAAACTTTTGGAAGAACATGTTCACATAAGCCTCATATTTTTTGTCTAGCAATATTTGTCATCTTTCATTTCAAGCTGCTGTAGCTCTTCGTTTGTTAAATTCTCAATTGTAAATGGGTCTTTTGTGCTGCCTTTTGAAGGGAAGCCAGACTGACTGTCAAGTCTGATACTGCAATCTCTTGTTTTCCCCAAAACAATAGATTTTGTTGGGAGAAAACTGGTTTTAGTCTTTGCAGCAACACTCACTGTATTTAATTTTTCCTCTTTCTTCTTGTTTCCCCTTTAGCATTGCCAGCAGCAGCCGAGACAACCCGGTCCACATATGGGACGCCTTCTATGGGGACCTTCGTGCATCTTTTCGACCCTACAACCACCTGGATGAGCTGACAGCGGCTCATTCACTGTGTTTCTCTCCTGACGGCTCTCAGCTCTACTGCGGCTTTGATAAAATCGTCAGGGTCTTCCACACCGACCGTCCTGGCAGAGACTGCGAGCAGCGGCCCACCATGGGTGAGGGACCCTCTCATAGAGGAATAACCACTACATCAATCACTCTCACTCTTCAAACGGGTCTTAATCAGGGTCATTAAGACGACTGGCTGGCTTGCATGGGTGTGGAATGCCTGTAATCCCATTTAATTTCTTTTTGTTTGTTTGGGTGGATTCATTCCAAACACATTCATGGCGGGAAACACATATTTGGCTTGATTAAGCTAACATGGCATGCTTGGCTCTGATCTAGACAGTGGCTGTGGATATAATTATCTTAGCATGTTTGTAGTGACTGACTCATTGATGTTGCTTCAACTCTGCTATTGTAATTATTGCTCTGCTTGTGTGACACAAAAGTTCTTTTGTTCAGGTTGAAAAAGGGTTGAACGTAAATATAATTTATTATATTATTTTATATTATATACATTTTTCTTTTTCTTGTTTGTGTTATTTTCATTCATTCATTCATAGTCCCTTTGTTATTCAGGGATTGCCACAGTGGAGTGAACCGAACCACCAACTTTTACAGCATATGTGTTTGTGCAGTAGATGCTCTTCCAGCTGCAACCTATCGCTGGGAAACACCCACACACTCTCATTCACACACATACACTATGACAACCTAGCCCAGGGATGGGAAAACTCGGCCCTGGAGCGCCGGTGTCCTGCACAGTTTAACTCCAACTCTAATCAAACACACCTGCTTATAGATTTCTAGTGATCTTGAAGACACTGATTGGCATGTTCAGGTGTTTTTGACTAGTGTTGGAACAAAACTCTGCAGGGACACCGGCCCTCGAGGATCAAGTTTGCCCATCCCAGACCTAGCCCATCCAATTCACCTGTACCACATGATTTTGGACTTGTGGGGTAAACCGGAGCATATGGAGGAAACCCACATGAACTCGGGGAGAACATGCAAACTCCACACCGAACCGCTAACTGATCCAGCCGAGGCTTGAACCAGCGACCTTCTTGCTGTGAGGCAAACATGCTACCCACTGCGCCACCGCGTCGACCCGTTACTTATATAAAGAATATAATTTAAATCAGCCTTTAGCTCAATTGTCAGGCTCGCTCCTGTTGGTTCTTAATCTGGCAACCTGTACTTGCATTTGTTTTGATCCAGGAATGCAATACCTAGTTCAACCACTGGGTCTCAAACTTACATACTGCACCTTTAAGACTTTTCCCAACTTCATAGATTGTTTATAGCTGCATTTCCACTACCATTAAAATTGCACAAAAAGGAACTGCAATGAAAATACGCCTAATGGAAATGCATCAATTTCCTGCCAAAACCACCAAAAACTAATTTATTCATGACTCAAAAATGTATTTTTTTATTGTGCGGCACATAATACAGATGCATAGACAATGTTTAGAATAATGCTAAAAGGGCTGTTCTGTACTCTTATGCTGATGTCTCATGCTATGAAAGGGATTCATTAAAACAACAGTCATGGTTACTGAGTTCTAGACCTTCCTTTAATTAGAGGTCCTGTTTCATCTGAACCTTTCTCATTTCTTGTGTTTCTTTATTATCCTTTAATAGAAAACCAAACTGATGATGAATACCCTCATCATAACTGATGATGAATAATGTTACTGTTTTTTTTTCTCTTCATTTTGTATCTTCTGAAGTCAAGAAACGGGGTCAGACTGGCATTATTTCCTGCATTGCCTTCAGTCAGTGCCATTCCATGTATGCCTGCGGCTCGTACTCGCGCTCAGTCGGCCTTTACTCTTGTGATGATGGCTCTCTGCTGGCTCTGCTGCCCACTCGACACCATGGAGGCCTTACACACCTGCTGTTCTCACCCAATGGCTATCACCTGTACACTGGCGGGCGTAAGGTCAGTGGACTTAGAAGAGCTGTTATTAGCTTGTGCATTTTGAATTCTGCAGTTAAAAGGATGGTTCACACAAAAATTAAAATGCACTCACCATTTACTCACGCTCAAATGGTTCCAAGCCTTCATGAGTTTCTTTTTTGGGTTTACCACAGAAGAAGATATTTTGAAGAATGCTATAAACTTGTAACTATTGACTTTTATTGTAGAAAAAACAAATACTATAGAATGGTTACAGGTTTCCAACATTTTTAAAAATGTCTTTATTTTTTTAACTGAAGAAAGATACTGATAAGTAAAGGATGACATAATTTTTATGTTTTGGATGGACTATCACTTTCATATCATTGCTTTCAGGATTCAGAGATCCTGTGTTGGGACCTCAGAGATCCAGGACAGGTTTTGTTCTCCATGCAGAGGAATGTCAATACAAACCAGCGCATCTACTTTGACCTGGACCAGTAAGATTCTAATTTACAACTGGACTTAACTGAACCACTTTACTGTTGCCTCAGCATATTAATATATGTGCGTCTGATATAGATCCGGCCGGTATCTACTGAGCGGAGACACTGATGGGGTGGTGTCAGTGTGGGACACCTTAACAGCTCTGCCTGATGGGAATGAGGAGATACTAAAGCCACTGCTACAGTTTCAGGCACACACCGACTGTACTAATGGCATCAGGTACAGTTATTATAATTTGAATAATGTTTAGAAGATGTAGAAAATAAAAAAATCTAAGCTGGTGTAGAATGAAAAGTTCAGAGAAAAACTGCTTTAAAAATATTACAGTTTTTATAAATAGATTTGAATTATTCACCTTTTTATTATGGCTCTCCAGTTTTCAGTTTTACATGGTTTCAAAATTCTTCTGATTTGATGCTCTAAAAATTAAAAATCTGGGTCACACTTTGTTTTGAAGGTTGGTTTGTTGAATTTAAGTTACATTGCATCTAAATGCCAACTAATTCTCATTAGAGTATAAGTAGTTAATTAGATTATTAGTTAGATTATAACTGTTAGGTTGGGGTTAAAGTTGGGGTTAGGGTTAATGTAAGTTGACGTATATGCAAAATTTATTATAGTCAGTTAAATGTCTGTTTAATAGCAGTATATTAAGCAGACAGTCTAGCAATACTCAAATGGACCATCAAAATAAATGTTACCAAAATATTTTGTGATTCTCAATATGTTTTGTAAAAAGAGATTTTTTTCATATAAAATTTTTCAATTAAAAATTTATTTTATTTTATCTATTTAAAAAATTTGAAACTGAAAATTATTATTTATTTATTTATTTTCATATTGTGTTTTTCATTGCGATTTCCATATTAGCATACAGATTTATGGTGAACAGAACATTTTTATTGAATATACAAGAGCAATTAAACATGAATATCCAGCAAGTGTACGGAATAAATTGACTAAATAAGTAAATAACCTTAAGGACTCAAATATATTATGTGAACATGGTAATAAACCACTATAATAATAAATTGTATATATTTTTATATAATCAAAGCAATATCTGATAATACTGATTCGTTGTATTTCAATTGCCAATTCAGTTGTTTGCTTATTGTAGGTCCAGTGTTTCTCAACCACGTTCCTGCAAGACCATCATTGTCTGTCACACCCATTACAGGTCTTTTAGTCTCTGCTAATGAGCTGTTGATCTGAATCAGGTGTGTTTGATTGAGGAGACATGGAAAATGTGCAGAACTGGTGGTTCTCCAGGGACGTGGTTGAGAAACACTGGCTTAGTCCATACTGTGGTACCTAATCTGTGCTCCATATTTTCAAATCAACGTCATTTAAAAGGTTAGTTCACTCAAAAATGAAACTTCTGTCATTAGTAACTCACCCTCATGTTGTTCCAGTCCCCTGAGATCTTTATCTTAGCAACACAAATTAGGACTGTTTAGATCAGGGGTCACCAAACTTGTTCCTGAAGGGCCGGTGTCCCTGCAGGCTTTAGTTTCAACCCTAATGAAATACACATGAACTAATCAAGGTCTTACTAGGTATACTTTAAACATCCAGGCAGGTGTGTTAAGGAGAGTTGGAGCTAAAGCCTGTAGGGACACTGGCTCTCCAGGACCAACATTGGTGACCCCTGGTTTAGATGAAATCTTAGCATTCTCTAACCCTCCATACACAACAATGATCCAGAAACTCCTTATGACTTCAGCAGTGGACATTAGGGTGCATGTTTCCTATGATCAATACAACACTTGTGTCCCAGCAATCTTTTGTGTTCAACATAAGAAATGAACTCATAAATGTTTAAAGTCACGTGGAGATTGAAGAACAGTAATGAACTATCATTTTAAAGGTCCTATGAAGTGCTTTGAAATGTGCACTTTTTATTTGTTGTTTGACATCATCGCAACAAATGAAGAGAGGGTAGGACATAGAGTAGCTCCTCCCCTTAAAAAAACAGCCAAAGGCATTTTGTTTTTATCATATCTCTGCCAGTAAAAGTGGTTGAGATCAAGCACATCTAATGAAAGGCAAATGAGAAGTGTCTTGAAGGGGACAGGGCATGTCAGACAGTAGAGAGCATTTGATTGGTCAAGGTTTGATGAGAAACTGAAATGAGGTGATGTGAAAAAAAAACCCGTTGATCAACTTAAGCGGAAGTGACAAAGTGCATGCTTTTGAATCAGCTTTATATTTTCTAGTGTGAATTTTGTCACTGTTTTGGAGCACACTAGCTAATAGATATCCTTGAAACTAACATTTAATTTTTTTATTTTAATTTCACATAACCTTAAAAAGTAAAGACTAAATATTTTAAATTCTGCAACATTCCAGCAATTCAGGCAGGCAGGAGAGGCGTCTAGAATGCTGGTGTAGTTCTGGTCAAAACTCCTTCAGTTTAGTTTGTCACTGTTGAAGTTCTGTTTAGTTCAGATCAAGGCGAATGCACTGAATAGCAGGTGTTCTAATGTCATCTTGTATTAGCCAAGCATTTCAGACTAGGGCTGCACAATATATCGTTTTAGCATCGTTACTGCAATGTGCTCATCTATATGATATGCAATGTTGAGGACCAGGAGCTACATTGTATTTATTAATGTATTCATACAGAATTTAAATGATTTATGGAAAAAAAGGTTTTTGTCTTGTTTCTAGTGCAAATATCTACATTTCAAAGCAAATTGTTTCTAGTGCAAATATCTACATTTCAAAGCAAAAACATTTTAATTACTTTTTTTTTTTGCTTGTTTTAAAGAAAAACTCTTTATCTTGTCTTGTCTTTTTCTGTTGTTGGAAAAAAAACAATATTTTTACTTGATATAAATATTTTTAGATATTTGGATTAAAAAACGAGACAAAGTAAAATAGCTATACCATTTTTTGCATTGTGATTATTCCATTTCTCTTCCTGAATACTGTTAGACTCTCCAGACAACCTTACGATTAATGCTATTCAAACGATCTTGTGAAACTGTATTCATATCTTAATATTTTTTGCTGAAAAATGAAATATCGCAATATTAGATTTTTCCACTATTGTGCAGCACTTTTTCAGACTGTTCTCTATCTTATTCTCTCATTGCTGCAGTGTCCATCCTTTCATGCCATTGATGGCTTCGTCCAGTGGTCAGCGTAAGTTCTTCTGGCCGTCTGACAGCGAGGACTCAACGTCTGATTCTGAGGAGGGGAACGTGATGCCAACTAACGGCGACCGGCCGGACAACGCTCTGGTGCTATGGTGGGCCGGCCCAGTGGCCTCAACCAATGAGATAAGGCAGGAGGAGGAGCCAGCAGTTATTGACAGCTAAAACTTTCGATTGTTAAACTGCACTCTGACTGACCGGTAATCTACTGCCAAACCTATAATGCTAATTGTTTAGGTTAAGAGTGGTAAGATTGTAATTTTGCATCACTTTTAATTGTACTATAGTAATTTTTAAAAAAAGAACTAATCTTCCAACCTTTTGTACAGACATTTATTTCTTGTTGTTGCTGGGTTTGTAAAGCTCAATCAATAACGGTGTAAAAGTCGAACCATTCCTGACAGCAAATTATGATTCGCATCACCTGGAACACTGATCTGAAATATGAATAATTCATTCGTAGATTTCATTTGGTTTGGACAGGTCCCTAAATTGATGTTTACATTCTGTTTACTAGCCATTCTTCGTAGATCTGCCGTCTCTGCTGGAGTGTGATGACTCTCAGGTTCATGATTTCGGAGAGCAGCCTTTTCGTTGGGTTTGTTTTCCTTTCGCTGCAAAAGCTGGTTTTTTAGGAAACGTGTTGAGACTTGTCTCGGACTAACTTTAAAAACACAGTA